ATATCCACTTTATAACGACAAGATAATCTTGGTCCTAATATAAAGTATAGATTATCTAGTAAGTGAACATAAGTAACATTAATAAAGATTTAATTTCTTAATTTAGGGTTTTTTTGCTTATTTACTTAAATAAAAAAGCTTTTTTTTACTATAAAAGAAGACAGAAAAGCTTTTAGCTCACTAGATGCAATGCGACAGTGTATCTTGACCAGATGCACGGTCTACCGAATTTGGCTTTGAATATTCTAATCTACAGACTGAACCGAAACGCGACTTAATAGTTTTTTCATCTGTGTTGAATATGAGCCATATATTGCTGCCATTAGACCAACGAGTTCGTCGTAAATTAGTAGTCAACAACACCCTTATTAGAAAAAAATTGCAAGAAACATGTTTGTCTGAAAGAAAATTCGTATAACGATATTATACTCAAATATACTGTTTACGAGGTGTAAATAATGGCCCAGAATGTGTTATTTATGTGCTTATAACCAACCAACCTATTAGTAGACACGAATCTTATTTCCTGATAACAATATTTGTCGCGTTCAAACGTTACATGTCTAGAAGAGTCCCCTGAAAGATAGTGTAGCTTCTTTGTTGTCACGACTCCAACGGTCCTTTTTAAAATCAAAATCTATTAGCATTATATGTGCTTAATAAGTTCATTTTCTTTTTCTTAAGATTTCGCTGTGTGTACTTCTGTTAGTGTGTTTGAACACATACAAACGTAAATTAAATCGAACATCCATACAACAAACGATTTTTATTAAAATAAAACATTTTAACGGTTTAAAATGCGACATATATCATTTTAACTACGGCCCGACGTTTCGGATGCTTTACACGGGGAGACGGTTTTTAGATAAGTAAATACAAGACCTAAAGTTGTCAGTGATACTATGTTTTATTTAAACTTCCTATTCTCTTTGCAGGGGAACGCTTGTTGTATTTTGATTACCATTTTTTATGGTAGAGGAGGACAGACAACTGACAAGAAAGGCGTTTACTTGCTGGAATATGAAATCTCCCAGCCATATAACACGGCTTTTGACTTTGCATATTCGGAATATATATCTCAGTTTTGTAATATTCATTGTAGAATTATATTATGTAGATGGAATAAGCTATAGAGGATATAACAACTGCAAGAGACCCTCGATCAATATTTGTTACTTTTGGACAGGACACGAAAGTCCGATCTTCTACTTTTGTCTATTAGTGTAGTACGTATCAGTAATACAGACACCTAATTCCGAGTAAACATTGAGCTAAACTCGTGCAGATTAATTATCGGGTTCTAAAAAACACTGCTTTTTATTACGTGTAAAGTAACTAAACCTTGGCACAAACAATAGAATGCTTGTAACACATAGGGCTGTCTTAGTAGAGTTTTAAGTATAATTATCTAGTGATAATTATACTTATATCGCGTTTTATATCGTTAAAGTGTTTTATTCAAATGTTTACTACTCACGTAAACTATAGACAGTATTTACATTTATAATTTTTCTGAAACTCGCTAAAACCTCCACCATGAAACCGACCATAGATAAAAAAGCTATGAAGGAGATGTTTTTAACTTGTACGATTATTGTCGTTTAAATTGGATATTATAAATGTTAATTGGCCTAGTTTAACCTTACATGTTTGTTAGATGTCTTTTGCGATATTAATGCGCTTAGTTGACTCAAAACTATAAATAGACATAAAGCTTATATAAATAAGATTTAAGGTAGCGCGTAGGTCTTGAAAAGTATCATTCGAGCAGCCCTAGTAGTGAGTGACAACCTCGAACCTCTACCGCGAACGAGCCGAGGAAAAATTTAGATACCGACATAGTTTGCGCTTCTTTTGTCTATTTTTATCTCGTACAAAAGAAAATTATATCATCAACATCACGTATTACTTCCCGAATGATAAATATACGTACGTTTATAATTATTGTTTTTCATCATAGAGACAAGAATAAAAGGTGATATACCATAGCCATATAAAATCTCAACAAGTTGCGCCATCGACCTATTTTTGTAAGATTGTGAGTTTTTGTAAGTTTGATATTATGGTAAATTTTTTGCGGGCATATATTGTTTGAAAAGTTATTTATAAGACGTCCATTCCAACCAATTTATAATTGTCTTATTCTTCGGCACTGGTAACCTCGCAGAGTAAGGACTACTTAAATAGACCCATCACGCTACTCCACTCCTCAACCTACCGCTACCCGGGTTGACCGTGATTACTTCGGATTACAGGAACTAAAATTTTTTGAAAAATTTCAAATGAGGAATTAAAGTTTTGTCCTGAGTTGGGTTAGAACCCTAGTTAACTCATGATGTGCAGTTTAATATACTAACCTCTAGACCAATAAGTGGACCTTGTGTGTTCAATACGATTTCATCCCATTCAATTTTGATCAATATATATTATTTCCACGGAAAAGCCTCTTTTAAAATATTCAGTTAATGTAATGAAGTATTCAGGTAATAATTATTAAGTATTTGTTATTCGACAAGTTAGTGTACACAATTTAATCCTCGCCCTCACATCAAAGTATCTATCGTATCGTATGAAAACCAAAATGTCTTAAAACCAAACACTCGACGACTTGTATAATCTACTAACGCGCATTTAGCCAGCAGGTAGATTAAACTCTATTTACTCTAGTACGTTAGTAGAAGGCCTATGAGTCAGCACTGGGAAATGTTCAATAACGAAGATTCTGAACCGAATTATTAGTATCTAGGTAAGCACTAGATACTAATAATTCGGTTCAGTCATTCATTTAAAATTGGGTTAAAATACAACTGTATTTAAGTAACTACTTAAATATTCGTAACATGTTAATACTAAATACGTAATGCTTAAATAGTAATTACATTATAACGGATTACGTTGAATAAAACCAAATAACGTGGAAACCATATCATTGATAACACTTGTTAATTAACGATAGTCAATGTTTTATTTTAAGGCAGATTAACTTAATTTAAAAATATCATTTTTAATTTTAAAGGTTTCTTTAAAAATGTATCTTAAGATTGTCCTAGTATTTTTTGTGATTTGTAGGTACTACAAAAACAAAAGTATTTATGTTGTACTCGATTCATATCGATACAGGGTTTTAGAGCTCAACCCACCACATCGTTCCAAAAAAGGTGGGCGGACTTTTATAACTATATTAATGATTTTTGTAAAGAAATTACATTCGAATCTCTTGATCATTGATCAAAAGCCAACGAGTCAAATGCATATATATCATTGCTATATAAATTTTACTGTTAGTGAAACTTTGATAGTAATTTAAACCGTACACCACGCCCCAGCCTACGGCATTGAAAATGTTTACACCAACTTAATTAAAGACAATAGTTAAACTGTAGCTATCTTAACAGTTAATAGTATTCCAAGAAATACAAACGCACGTCTATACATCACATAAAAAGATCATTCCGTGAGAGACAACAAAACTGTGCTTCCTAGGTCTTAAAGCAAACAACAAGCGTGAAGAACTAAAAACCAAAGCATTAACAACAGGCAAATGCGCAAGCGATCGGTGCCGGAAAAGTTTAGTAGAAACATTCGAAGGTACAGTATTTTACGAGAGTTGAAATGGTTTGTGCCAATCAGCTTGCAATGCAAATATCAAACGTCACTGTGCTATATACAGTGTAACTCACGTTTCTCGCATGACGTCACTGGGAAAGTGAACCCGGCAGCCCAGTTTTGGATTTATGTCCAATCTACAAATAGAAAAAACCAATTGAAACCCTCGTGTTGCGTATTTGGCCCGCCTTCAGACTTATTCGTTTTAACAATGATTTGTTCCTACACCAACAATTCTTTGTAGAGTGCCCTTTACACACAGTTTTAATCCGAGATATGAGTTCCAATATGGTATCCAATTTAAATTGACTAGATACCTGTAAAATAAAATATAAAACTCCTATGAATGAATTTCAGAAGCGGTCTTGCTTGCGTGTACTCATAATTCAATAATCTATATAAGTAAAATTTCAGATTGTATATCTCTTTCATTAATTCATTATATGTTAATAGTGTAGTTTTACTCATGAACTCATAAGGAGTTATAATTAATTCCTTCTTATGGCTTATATTTCTGTGTCTATCTTTTGAGTATAAATTATGCTAGATGTATATAATTCAGTTTTATGTAACCATAAATTACCAACACAGTAGGTATATAGAAGAAGTTTTATTAATTATCGTTGGTATATATTATATAAAATAGACTGAACTTAATGTAAAGTATGACAGTAAATAAAGAACTTTAAAGCAGATTCGATCTTTAATTTGACTACGACTCAAATACTTAACGCGTTATTCTTGTATTTTGCTTAATAGAAACATAACTATTGTGAAGTCGCTCCGTTTGTTAAACTTCTTATACTATGGTTATCTGACTATATTTAAACATATAAGTAACCTGGCTAACGTTTTTACTTTTCCATATAAACCAATTTTTAGTCTTCTAATCCTAGTATCTACTATGGTGATTCCAAAAACGCATTCATAAAAAACGAAATAAACCGAGACGTTGATTATGTTTTCCTCACGAAAACCATGGCATTATTAATGTAACTGCCTTTATATGTAGATATCATCATAGTTTTCCTAGATAATATTATAATTGCCCTACCTGCACTGTTGTTATTCATACAAATAATATTTGTTAAGCACAGAATGTAAATTATCTTTTTATACCGCAAAAGATCAATAGCATCTTAGAGAGTTTTGTAATTCCATTCACGTTCACTTTTAAATATTATATCATAATGTTTATTAATTTCATTTATAAAACACACTTAAAAGGGGATCGTTATTATTTCAACTAAACGAAATTATTCGTCATTTAAATTTCGAAATACTTTTGATGTTTTCACGAGCAATTTGATTTTAACTAATCTTGATAGGAAAAAACGGCGTGTCGTTATTTGTTTTTCCACATAATTTTTTGGGACTACAGGTTCACAATGCCATCATATCGCCGCTGTAACATACCCCTCATCGTCATTGTCATCATCGTCTACATCGACACCATTGCAGGCTTCCACGAGCACATCCGGAACTGCACTCATTCCGAAAACTTTGAACAAGACGGATGACCCGACCAAGTCTTGCAAGAACGATACCGTAGACTGTTCCCCATCGCCCTTGGTAAAAAATTACGATAGTACGGAGTATATTATTAAATTAAGCGAACTTAACTTGTACGACATAAAGCATAAGCATGCGCCGTCCATTGTGGACAGGTCACGAACGCACATTCGGGGCTTCGCTGCATAATCCTTTTAAGTGTCTTACTATATGTTTCGTGTAGCTTAACACCTACATCATGTGCAATTTACACCTTTGAGTGTGAATATAGGAGACACGCAAATAGGCAGAAACGTTTTTTAAAGCCACTTAAAATCCTAATCTTTAAAAAAGCCGTTGCGTCACGCCATATCAAACATTATAAAGCTATCGGAAAATTGTACGAATTAAATAAAATGTAAGAAATCGTCAAACCTAAACTAACTATGTATAACTTACAATTATAATTGTTATTTAAAGTTGTCGCTAAAATAATTATTTCTCCAATAGTGGCTTTAGCTAAAGTAGGTTTAATTGAAATTTTCTTGCAAGTGACTGACAGCCGAAACGAACGAACCCTTTCGTATCAACCTTTTCAAGGTAATTGTAAAGGGAAAAGGTTCAAACTTCGTTAGCAACTACTTTTAAACTATAATAGTTGATCCTAGTAGGTTATTTCCCTCGAGCCAAATCCTTACCTTTTACTTTTGTTTTTAAGTACGTATTTGAAAAAATTTTACAAATTACTAATACCTTCTCTTTTGTGAAAATATATTTATTAATATTATCCATTAAAATCGTAACAGTTACATAAAACTCATTCATTAATCATTTCATTAAATTATGATTTTTTGAGCATTTTTTTCACGATGGCCATTTTATTGATTATCTTACCTATTTTGTCACTAAATAAACTTATTAGGAGAAATGAGCAAAAATTTGTTACGAGGATTTTTTTTACCACGCTCGTAGTAAGGATAATTTCAATAGGTTTGATACGTTGTAACTAAAATTTTATTTCAAGTTTACGAATTTAAGTTAATAAATAAAATTGAACCAATATTCCGCCCATCACTAATGCTTATTAACAAAATAAACTTCGATGAGGTGGAATGGCTAGCGGTCACATAGATTTAATAAATTACCCACCACAGCACTTAAGTAATTACTTTGAATTGATTTTGTATAAACCTAATATAGGTTACCTACTTACTTGATCATGCAATCTCCTAATGAACTCTAAGTATTTGAATACATATTGCAAAATATAAATATCTAGACGAGAGATTGATGAAGGATGAAGATGATTATGGAGAATCTTAACTAAAAGGGAAAATATACATTTTCTCATAATAAATAAGAGTTTAATCATTTATACAACAGTATACCGTTAACTGGGTCGTATAAAAATTATCTTTAATACTATCAGTTAAGACTAGGAATAGATACGATAATGGTGCGTACATAGGCGCATATACTTCTATAGTATATTTACAAACGTCGCTAATTAACAGAGGGCAGTGTAACACAAATTTGCTTATAAATGAACGTCTAAGTTCTTTCCAGCTCCGCAATAGACTATAATACTAAAATAACTGTAGCTAAGTCAGCAAACGCAATTTTTGCATATAGGTTTTTTTGGGTAAAATAAACGGACTTATTGTGAGTATGTAAGTGTAACTGAATATAAAAGGGTGAAAGTTAGGGACTTGGAAGGATAGGAATGTATTAAAATTACATATTATTTAAATAAAAAAACTACGTAATAGCCGATTTCAGATTAAATATACATTCATTCTTCGATCGTGTCGTTTTGGAGGAATATGTTTATTAATATTGTGACACAAAAATTGTGTATATGATATACCGCACCGAACATTATTATTGACACGTTCACTCGTTCGGATCTAATTGTACTTTATATAGTAAGTCAATATTGTTTCGAGTAAATACTATTCAAAGAAAACCAAATAGGGTTGCATGTACAGGTATTTGTGAAAACTTACAATACAATTTTCTATTTGATTACCTCAAATTTAAAATATTCAAACAAAACCATCATTTTGAGCGCTTTTAATTGTGCAAATCTTAATAACTATTTTATTAGGCAGATAATTACATAAGAAATATTGTGACAGCATATTTGTTGTATTTCAATAAAACATGCAGGACATACTATAGTAACACTGCATTATATTGTACATATGAAAGATGTAACGTAAAATTTAAACGAAAATAGAAAAGCCTTCATGCAAAGCCTCTTGCACATTAGTATGATAGATTTGCAGTACAGTAACAACTAATTTAAATAAAACACTTTAACGGTTTAAAACGCGATATATTAGTTAAACTTATTTGAAAATGATTTTTAACGGAGACCCCTCCCCGTGACCACGGCTGCTGCAAAGCATCCGAAACGTCGGGCCGAAGTTAAAAATCATTTTCAAATAAGTTTAACTAATATATCGCGTTTTAAACCGTTAAAGTGTTTTATTTAAATGTGTACTACTCGCGTAAACTATAGACAGTATTTAGTAACAACTAATGTTTTCCTTGTAGATTCTATAACAGATATGTACATATATGCGCTATAGGCGTAGCTACATATCTGCAATAGAAACTTCACACAAAATTAAATTATTATGTGGGAAAAGACGCTGGCTTTAACTCAAAATATACCTATATATATTTGTCAGTTAAACTGAGTAGAAACATAATTGCCCACACTGAGTACATTTGAAATCACATTTTGTTTTTTTTTAATTTCTGGTATGTACGGAATTTGTAGTTATCGTACAGCAAGACTTATCTATCAACTTATAGATAAAATAAAAAAAAACGTTTATCACGATACGTGGTAACCAACTTGCGATTGTACTTGGGAAGCCGTAATTATATTTTGTTCGCCGGCTATGATTCACAAATCTGCGATTCTATATCAATAATGTTTTTGGAGTTTATGAATTCTTGAAGTTTTTATTTGACGAACTAATTTGTGTGAACTGATGTTTTCATTGGAAAACATTTATAAAGTTATATACTGTTGTATATAAATATTATACAAGTTTAAACAACTAGAAGATAACGTCTTGGTGTTCTATTTGCTGTTTTTCGTCCGTTACTTTCAGTATCGATATCCAAATAAAAATGATTCGACGAGCCCACTCAAACCTTATCAATACGAACACATACATGATACAGAATTAGGGTTTTACTAAAACAAGTGGCTCATGACCTACATTCTTCTGAATTTAACGTCTTAAATTTATGAACCATTGTACTATATTAAAATTATTTATTATAAGCTAATGTTCAACTTTGGTCATGAATTTGCTATTCTCTCACGAAAGATATAGTAAATAATTATATTTAATGTCCTTAGAGTATACAAATTAACACGTCACGGCTTTAAATTATATTACTATAACAATTAAACAATAATACTTCACAATAAATAAGATTGGCTTATTTAATCTTTATAATACGTACTTAGTGTTAAAAAAATATCCAAACATTCATTTTTTTTTTCCAAACTAAATAGACTGTTTGTAACAAAATCAAAAAAAAGGTAATTATGGAATAATTAGCTTACATTTCGATCTTAATATAATAATAATAATTTAAGTCTTTGGTTTTATCAAAATTGACTATCCACTTGCTCATCTCGAGCTCATATTAACAAAGTTACAACTAATAATGATATTATGAAGTATTGCATATTTTTACACGTATATATGAAAATGGCCGTATTTATAGACATAAGTAGGAACGGGCAAAGTCAGAGACTAAAAGCAACAATTGTATTTCCGAATGTCCAAAGCCATAATAGGTGGATAGCGCACCTTCTTTAGATGTATGAATGATGTATCTCACATTCCGCGAAGAGAACGCCATGCTTGTATCCCTTTCTATCATAAAAAAAAATCAAAGCAATATTTTCTACCACCGGCACTGCCATGAGTCAGACCAACACAAAAATATTACAATAAAAACGCAAGTACCCTTTTCATCCTATTTCCGATATTGCCTAAACAATGAGATCAATGATGAAGTTAATACTCAAAAATTAGGTATACATAGTTTGGTCCACAGTTTTGCTCTTTTCAATTAGAAAACATAAAATTATATGAAAGCAATACAAAATCATCAAACACAAAATGACTAACTCCAGTCAAAATAATACTATACAATTTCACATTAACATAAAAGCAATAATACTTATCTAAAATGTTATGTTCAAACAAAATTCACCATATGCAACTAATATGCATTACCTTGTTCTGAATCTCTATATAAATGTGTTTAAGTTTTTTCATTTCTTAAAATGTTTGTGCTCCTCTTCCAACACCACACCTACTTAATTATTTATACAGTAATAGGAGTCTTAACTTCCTTATTAACCACATAAAACTTATGTTTCTTACCTAAAATACCCCAAATCACAGCAATATTTTCTATGACAACATTTAAAGGAATTGTTGCTAATGCCCCAGCAATACACATTATGAATTTCAAAGGACCATACCTATACATAGGGAATGACTTCATAACCCCAAAAATATACATATAAATATTAACAGCACCTATAAAACCAATTATTAAGTCTAAACTATATGGACACGGTATAGGACATATTGCAGCTAACAGCATATTGCTAGTGGAAAAAGGAAGTGTTACCCATGAATAACATGAAACACCTAAAAATACTTTATAAAGAAATGGAATCTCTTTAGAATGAACCACTAATAAGATGCCTTGGATCCACCTTTTTCTCTGCTGCATGAAGTCCCACAAGGTAAATGGTGATTTCTCCCACATTTCTCCTTCAACAAAATTGAAAGTGTACCCTTCTTTATATGCCTTCATTGCAAAATAACAATCTTCAGCAACAGAACCATCTAATCCATTATCAAATGAAACTGATCTTTCAGCGCTCACCTAAAATAGAAATATAAAGTATATAATATATTTATGACACATTTGAAGGAAACTCCTTACAATTTTTAAAGTAAATCAAAATGGAATATGATAAGTGATAACTGTGACTCAATTGGTGTTATCTTCTATCTTCTGATGACAAAAAGTAATAGGTGTGTTCCCATACAACTTGTTTTAAGATACCTATTTCAACTAGGGAGATACGCAGATAAAACAACTTTGCAATAAATAATTAACCAATAGCCTTGAAAAATCTAAGTGAATAGCAAGTGTGGAGAATGCCAAATTTTTAACACTAAGCATTTGGAAATTATTACTTACCTTTGTGACTACATATGACCCTTTCCAACTGAATAGTGGTTTATGAAACATGTAAAATTGAAATCTAAGTTTTCCCATGTCATCTGCCACTCTAAAACTATCGGCTAATGTGGTGAGCCAATTTACAACTTCTTCATTTGCATAAGTAATAAGTCCTTGGCCAAAAGGATGCTGTCCATCGAAAACAAAGTTTAATATCCCTCTTACAGAATTTTCAGTCAGCAATGTTTCTTCATCTAAATGAACAATCCAATCTGAATCGCCTAAAATATTTACATTATCCTCTAAGCAATATTGTAAAGCTCTTGACTTAAACAAAGCTCCTGTTTTTGTCTTATATTCTGCAGGTATAACTACTTCTCTAATCCGTCTGTGGGTAGGTAAATTTATTGCTTTATCAGTCACCACTTCTATAATGAAGTTTTCTAAACCAACATCTAAACAAGTGTTCATATTTCTGGAGACATTATTTGTCACTAATTTTGGAAAATCTCCTCGGGTAACTACTCTTATGCATATAAATGGTGCTAACAATGGCGATCCTTTTAATTTGATTTTACCCGGAAAAGCATTGAACAGAGTAAGTCCAGCAAAATTACATAAAACTTGTGGTATTGTAAGTAGCGTAAGGAGTCTAAGAACATATAAAATGATTGCACCAACTAATCCGTAGGTATCCACCGGATCAATATAAGCTTTTTCATCTTCTTTCAAGTTTATAGCACCCGCAAAAACCAGGAAGAAAAAAATAAAAGATAGAAAAAATACACAGTGCATTAAATGCAAAATATTTCCTCGCAGCATCTGAAAAAAAAAAATATAAGAGACGTTTATATTTAGCTTCTCCTTTAGCGATGAAACGAGTAGATTATTTTATTTTTTCATGATGAATAATAGAGATATACAGTTATTCATTAGAAGTTGTAACCTTGTCCAGTGTAATGTTGACTTACCATATCAATAACACAAAAACAATTGTGCGACAAAAATACAATAAATGAACCAAATATATTAATGTTTTAAATATTCCAACACAAATTAACATCTAATAAATGTATGAATAATTATTATCGATCCGCGATCGTTATTCGTAATTCGTTACGCCTTAACCAATTTAACTCCATATCTGACACTTGACAGTTGAAGTTTATTTAAAATGTTTTAGCTATATACACCCATGGGATTTTGTTTTTTATACAATATTATGTATGTTATCTATGGGTTACATATTTTGACAAGTGTTAGTTTATTGACACATGACAATTAGTACGTTCAATACACAAAATCTACCACAAGAAACCAAAAAATTACAAGGTGATGAAGGTAGTGACTGGTGGAGTGTGATAAAAGATATTACGATGTTATTTATAATTATAAGCTCTAATATTTAAAGTATATTAGAAAAACAGTCACAATAAGTTAAAACATATTCTTTGATATTACTCGCACGTCATGGATAATAAAGAAGTTTCATAAGGCTAACAATGCAAAAATTATATGGAATACAGCAAGTGGAAGAGAAAGTGTTTAAAATAGTAAATAACGGGTCGATATGAATATGTCTGTCACAGATTTATCCGTAGGTTGTCGTTTTGCTGATTATTTTGCAATATGCGGATTAGATTTCGATTCTGGATTAGAAACAGACCGACTTTCTGGTAAATATACGTTTAAAATTTTTAATCTTGTACATTTTATTGTATTTTATAAAATGTTTTGATATTAAGACAAGTAAAAAAAATTTGATATATGGTATATCATTTGTCTCTGTGTTTACATATGACTTGTTTATTTCCAGGTGACAACTTACATATTTCTCCATTAGATCGATCATATAAGGGAAAGGTTCTAGCGCACTATCCTGATAATATTCACACCAATTCCTTTGATGAACATGCTGTGTGTATGGTGAGTAGTTGTCTTATTCTCATCATATTAAGTACCATATAGAACAAAGTTGTTGTAACCTGGTTTTGTTTTCATAACTTAGCTCTGCTTGCCAGCTGGACTGCAATTTCGTACACAGAAGCACTCCTTAGAACCAAAGTTTCATAGTTTTGTTGTTACTAGAGAAAATGCATCTCGATACTATGGTTACAGCCTTATATTTTATGAAGAGGTTAGAAACCGTAACATATGCAGTGCAATGCATACTCTGCAGGTAAAAGTATATACATGAAAAAATATTGCAAAGGTACTACAATCCCTCTTTTTCTATGATTTAATAAAAATATGTTGCAGGCGATGTATATAACAGAACTATCTAGTGGTCAAACCCCACCAGGTCACAGAAAGAATTCCGGTAAAGAAAGTTCTAGATCACTGCCAAGGTCTTTTAAACTTACACCACACACGGGATCAGCTCTCACTTATTATGATATTACCAAAGATAAACTTTATGTAGCCAAAAGCATAGCTCTCGTATGCCAGTATCCCTTTATAAGGGTAGCACAATTATTCTTAGAAAATTTGTTTAGGTGAGTTAAACTATTTGACCAAATAATAAAGAATAATCTTATAAATGAATAATAATTTAAGATATTGGAAATAATATAACAATAGCCGTCTCATTGTATATCTGTGTTACTGTCTAGAATATACCTTTGGCACAATCCACTGGCATGAAATGCTGCTAGTGTCTGACCAATGATAGTAAATCTCTATAAAATACAGTATAATATAACCTGTAATCCTAATTTGTGATCATTATAAATATTTAAAGTATGTGAAGTTTTCTTGCTATTATAATTTTATGTATATTAATTAATATTACAGGTCTCTCCCAAGACAGCCTGGTCCGGGATTAAGTCCAGAATCATATGTATATAATCTATTATATGAAGTGCCAGTACCACTGCCAGGGCAAGCCTTACGTCTTTATGTGCCACCACCCGAGCCACACTTAGATCCTATTCCTGTTGTGAGTTGTATTTCTATTTTTAATTATTTTCCTTGATATAATTGCCTCTTTAAATTAAACTCATAAGTGAACAACACTTTAATCTCAAATGATATACATATAATTATAAATTATACTTACATTTAATTAATGCATTTCAACAATGATGTTTTCTTTTAACATTGATTAGTTAAACCTTTTCCGATATATCATGGGTCAAATTACATATCAGTGGGCAAATACATTTCTTTAACTGATGATTTTTAAATAAAACACTGAAATGATTTAAAACGCGCTATATATTTAAAGTTAAACTTATTTAAAAATTATTTTAACTATGACTCGACTTTTTTTGCAACAGCCGTGATCACGGGGAGACTGATCGATTTTATTATTTACGGCCTTGTGCCTAAACAAACATGTTATTGTTTTACCGGCATTCAATCCTGCATCCCTCACGCTTTCAGGTGATAAGAATGCCAAATCCACCAGAAGAGTTACCTCTCCTTGATTATCCATTGCGTGTAATGTTCAGTACTTTGGGTGTAGAATGTATTGTACAGTTGTTCACTTGCGTCCTCTTAGAGCATCAAGTACTCCTCCGATCCAGTGGTAAGAATTTTATTTTTTTATGGATCTACAATATTATTTTTTTTTTATCACCTGTTTACTTGTAAAAGAACATTTTTGTGAAAATGTATTTTTTTTACTCTACAGATTATAATAAACTCATGTTAGTGGCAGAATGTATGGTCTCTTTATTGTTGCCATTTTCTTGGGCCCATGTGTACGTGCCAATTTTGCCAGCTCCACTATATCACTTCCTGGATGCTCCAGTACCTTTTGTTATGGGTATGTATGTTTATTAATCACATTATTTCTAAAAGCAATGGGTATTAATGGTCCTTATTGATTTTTTTTAGGTATACACTCTGATGGAACAACTGCTTCTTCGAATGGTCTTAGGAATATTGCACTTGGTTCTGAAGCAGCTCTATGCTTGGTGGATATAGATAAACCAGATATACAGCTTCCTGAGGAGTTACCCATATTCCCTCATAGAACACCCTTCATTGAGGAGCTTAATCATATTCTGGATAAACATCAGGTACAATGCTTAGTTCCAAAAAATGCTTGATTTGTAAATGATTTTTTTTTAAACTGTCTCTGTTACCTAAAAGCAGTGTTATTTAAATTCCACGAAAATCAAAGGATATTTTCCACCTTAGTTACCATGGATATTAATAATTCGCGCGTCTAGAGGAATTATTACGTTTAACTATGTTCTTGTTCATAGATACAAAGACCAGAAACTGAACCAACGAAACTTGGTGTTCCGCTGAATGGAACTTCATACAAACATATGAATGACGGAATGAGTAGCAGTTGTACTCTACCCTCAGGTATTAAAATAATACAATTATTCTATGATCATACACATTTTTCTTGAGAAATCTCTCAAATTAAATTTCATCTGCTAAATGACTTAAAATTGAGCCCATGACATCAACTGACTTAAAGCACCCGAAACGTTGTGTCGGGTCGTGTTTTAAACAATTCAAAGTTTTTTTTTTATTTATACCACTCGCGTAAATTACAGATTTGATAAAATAAATATATTGAACAATTTCTACTACTTGTCTCAATAATCAGGTGGTCTCCGACGAAAACATTCCTTTGGTGACGTCTTAGAGTGGGACGAAAGCAGGCCCCTGAACGCGTCTCCTCCAGGTTCACCTACACGCAGACATCCAAGAAGATTGGACGCTTTGCAGAGGATCGTCGACATCGTAAAGCGAACTGGTAAGTTAATTTAGTGTAGGAAATAAATACAAGTTTATCTATACTTATATTATAAGTGCGAAAGTAACTCTGTCTGTCTGTCTGTCCGGCTCTAACTCCGAAACTACTGAACTGATTTAAATGAAACTTGGTACACAGATATTTTAGTGAATTTTTAATGCCAAAAAAGGCATGAAAGTTTGTATAGGGAATTGTATTTTTTGAAGCTAGAACAATGAAACTTTCTTCTTTGGCTTTTTAGGAACAGGAGTGGGAGTGGGAGTGAGTGTAGGAATGAGTGTGGGAGTTAGAGCAGGAAGGATGTGAGGTGTGAGTGTTCCACGCGGACAAAGTAGCACTTACAACAAGATTGGCTGCAATGCCCTTATAAATTAATCAACAGCCTAAATAATTAAAAGAACAAATTACTGTCACCACGCGGAAAAGATTTTTGACTTTTTAAAAGATTTTTGACACCTTAATCAACACATGATTTGGGTTGTAAAGTCAAACGATATGCGTTTAAAAACGCATATCGCATCGCATACGAGTAGAAAACTTGTTCGTTAAAAGCCAATGTATGCCGACAACGTATCTTGTAAAGGTGTAGCTAAGGAGCTAAAGAATTTCACCTTCCATCAAGTGATTCTAGTCTGTCCTTTTCTTTCATAGAATAGCCGGGTTTAAGTTTTATAAATTTAAAAAAGATTCTGCATTCATATATGAAAGAGTAAACGTAAACTATAGTCCAGTTGTGACGTGAAGATTAAATTATTGTAAATTTCTTTTAGGTGTGAACATAGACGACGTGGATGCAGAAACTGTTATGCCCACTGCGAAGAAAATAATACTCAACGATGAAGATCAGTACAATGAGGATTTACGCTTCAATGTAACTATACGGGAGACATTTCTTAACAGATTTGTGCATATGTTTCTCATGTATGAGAATTTCGTCATAATGCCAGACCAGGTAAACAACATTAATTTTATTTAAAAAACATGACGCCAGTTATTTTACTTTGTAATGTAGATTTTTGTCATTGTTTAGATTATGCGTTATTTCATAACTGGACTTTTTCTCGCGACTTAATAAGGAAAATAATTACCTAGTAATAAAAAAAAATAGGCAGGAATATAATGTGGATAGTTCTTGTCCAGAAAAGTATTTATGAGGATCCAAAGGAAACCAAAAATGACATTAGTATCTTAGTTAGGAAAATGATAAGCAAAAAAATACACTTTCCATTTTATAATAACAGTGTCGACATACAATGTTAAAGCCATTTGTACACAAGGATCAATTAAATGAAACAATAAAGAGTACATATTAAAAAATATAAGAATAGAATAGAATTATTTGATGTTTTCAGGACAGAGACTCTTGGCTGTCGTCCCGTGAATCAATGGTAAATTTCGACAAAGCATCCTTCCTCTCGGATCAGCCTCAACGACATCGGCCTTTCCTATCTCGCTTTTTGGAAACTCAAATGTTCGCGACACTCATAGATAACAAAATAATGGCGAATTGGGGAGAGTACGACGCCAATTTACAGGTCTTTGAACATAGAATCAAAATAGTGCGGTAAGTGAAACATACATTGATATAAGTCTATATCTTCCTTATTTTATTCACGATTGGTTCTTCATATTGCATCAATATCGCCTTGCATTGCAGCATAAAGAGTTTGCTTTCAAGTCGCTGAAGCACTTGTTCTAAACGACCCAAGCAAGGCGCATACTAATACTGTTTGCTTGGCACTTGAAAGATACACTGGAAATCGAAATTTAACTCCAAGCGTTTGGCTTTGGCCCGAGTTTCATAAACCTGGCCATGAATTATGTAAATAACAAAGCATGTTTTCACCACTGCTCAATTGAGTTATAAAAATTTGAAGAAGACGCCCCCACAATTTTATTTTTAAATGTCTTTCTTTGGGTTACGCTGTCACTTAATGGATCTGATAAGATTTGAGTACTAAAAGAATGCTGCATATGTTTGGAAAGAAATATTTGAAATGCATGACAATATGGCTCATAGGAAGGTTAGGAAAATCAAATTCAGCATCAATATTTGTGCGATGTGGATTGGATAGATGGTGTGGTGCTTAGTACGGGGGCGCGGTTGTTACAGACGTCGACTGGGTGAAGGGGGACTCGCGACACGCGGTTACAGCGTGTGGGCGGGCGCAGCCGGCTGCGCAAATAGCATGTGGAGTCCCGCCGAGCTAGAAGTTGGCGCGCCAGGGGAAAGGCTTCCCCACCGAGCAGCGTACTATCGCGCTTTCCCCGCGCGCTTAGACGCGAACGCTCTCGCCCCGCCACCGACTTCGGACCGCAGGTGCGATCCGCACTAGAGATCGAAAAGTCCGCTTATACTGCGCACCGAATGCATACCCAGTAGAAACACGCAGTACTTTCTAGAAGAAATACCCGTGATCCGGTGTACGCATGCAAATCTCGAACGGTTGCTTTTTCATTTTGTCCTTTGTCAAGTGAGTAGTTGCATAATACGACGCCGAGTGACAAACTAAACGCTTACATTGTCACCGTGTCTTGTTCGTTTGGTGCTTTTATTGTTAAGATTTTTAGCATTTATTTATGTTTATGTAAGGTATTTGTCATGAGAGGGGGTTGTAAGTCGTTCTCTACATTAAATAGCGCAATAAATATCTATTTTCACTAAATACTTCTAAGTTCGTTCAATGTTATTCGAAGTGCTATGTCGTCGTTGGCACAATATAGTATGTATTTTTTCTTGTTATTTGCAACTCTGATATTTTTTTTAGATCTGTGATTATTACTGCTAATCTCATACTGGAGTTATTAATGAATCTCTTATTATACCATGTTTATATTTAAAATAATATTTTTATATCTTAAAATTAAGTGTTAGTTTATATACTTAAAAGAATATCTATTAGGTCAATAATAACTGATGTATTTACCTACGTGTTTACAAATTGTGATATTGCATGTTTTAAAATACTGAAAATATGCCTGGCATGATTGGTAATTGAATGCTCATTTTAGTGTTTAGTTATAGTAGGCATGCATAATTACTACAATGCGATAACTGTTTTATAATAAAGTAATTTGTTAAAGTTTACAACTTGCATTTTTTTTTACAAATGTAAAATATTTTTGATATATTAATAAAGTTCTGTTTACCGCATGTTTCTGAAACATATTTATATGTCTATGCTATGCATACAATTTTCTGTTGTTTGTGTACCAAAGTTTAACAATATTGTATCGCTGTGTGAAATGCATGATGCATATTTAAGTTGTGATGTTATGCGCCACATTTGATATCATTTATTTTATATAATCTCTTGTTACTAATTCATTTATTTATATTGTTATTATGTCAACGTCATCTTCTAAGAAGACGCTATTTTTGTAATCTGTATACTTTCTTCCTATAAGAAAGTAAGCAAAACGGCAGATTCATTTCTATAGTTATAAATAAATGAAATAAGCAATTGTCTATTAGTAGCAGACCAAAATAAAGGATGTCTACACAAAATGTTGCAATATTCTATGAGTAATTAAACTTGGGCAATGTATCTCAACTTTTAATATCCACTCCTTATAGACCGAACACAATGCGACATGTAGCTAGACTGCATAGTAAGTGTTAAATTTATCACGCTTTTGCTTTATGTGCTTTATATCTCCATTATTTAAACAATATTCACAGACAATGCTATAATATTACAGAACGAACAGTTTGAAGCGTATAAAAAATGCGAAATGGCAAGTAAAGGATTGTCCGCCGGAGTTGTTGTTAGGGGACATCGGTAGACGTCTGTCCACCGATGTTACTCCAGCGGCCATCGCTCAGAACAATAGGACGTTTGTCGAAAAGCTTCTTAAGGTAATTATCCTTAGGTCTAATAGTTAGGATCTTAAATGAATGGTAGGAATGTTGAAAGTCCTTAGATTTTAGTTGCTGTCAAGTTTAATCACGTTTCAGTCTGTGGTTTTCCAAACCCAAAGTCAAATTAATATATATAAAATAATAATAATAACATCTTGTTAAGGTGCGGGGATATTTCATCTACCATCGAGTGAACCCATGCTCGTCTGTCCTTCTCTGTCATTAAAAAAACAATTAGCTCTGATATAGAAAGAATCAATTTTAGTACCCTTTGAAATTTAATTTGCTTTTGAAAACTTTGTTATTATTTACATATTATTGCACATGAATGCACTATATAATTTAGAAATATAAAATAAATTTAAAAAAAATTGTTTTGACTCGGTAGCTCAATTAGTAGAGCAACAGCACGGACCGCTGGCCATGCCGGTTCAAGTCCTGCCCGAGTCGCAAAATTATTTCAATTGAATTTGCTTTTACATGTCTTTCTATCCCTACTTAAAACAACATGCTTATCACAAAAATTACTGTCTGTATTGCCAAAAGTGTTTTTATAATGTTATAAATGCCCACTAATAGTTATTAGCTGCTAATAACTAATTATTAGTGCATGCACTGGTGACTTCTTCTCTGTCAGATTCTTAATATGTTTTTCAGGAATGTAAGAGCAAAACGAAACGAATGCTGGTCGAAAAAATGGGTACGGAAGAAAGTGATCTGGGTTTAGGCAGTGAAGTCTCAATAACTGGTATTGAAGAGAGCACAATGATCGCGTCTCTTTGTGACCTCCTAGAACGGTTGTGGTCTCATGGTCTACAGCATAAGATGGGCAAATCTGCCCTGTGGATGCATCTGATGAACTATCAAGAACTGGAACAGTGCAGCAATAATACTAAAGCGATCGATCCCAACTATCTTACACCAGGTGATTAAAAAAACCGTTTGTAAATGTATTTAAAATGTACTTTATTCCGAGTAGATGACTAAAATGTAGTTGTATACATTTTCTTAATTTTTCCAAACATGCAGCATTGGCTTGGTGCGTTTTGCGCAAGAGATTGGATTGTAAGTAAAAGATAACCTTTTAGTATAAGTTTTTTATTTTAGTACTTTCGTTTTCTTAAGCTAGTGCGTTTTGATAGAAATCTTTAAGCTTATTTACAAATGTTTCCTTTATTTGTAATAAGTCATTTAATGTGTAAACCAACTTCTTGTATTTCAGGTATATTATTCAGGTTCACAAATAAATATAAATAAAAAACATGATGGATATGATACAGATATATTGGTGTATATAGGTTTCATATCCACCTATACAAATCTCTTTTATCTTATCCTCCTTGTTGGGAATGCATTGCTAAATGTGGTAAACAAATTCCTATATCCGATCCACTGATCGATTTTATTTACAGGCTAGTATTTTATATGATTTTTGTGCCCGGTCAGACTGAAACAATTGATTGTTTACCTGGGATTCGAACTCAGGACCTCTTGCACTTACCGCAATACTAGGCAACACGTTTAACTATTTAATCAGTTTTTGTATATTCAAATAACATTCGATTCGTGTATAACAATTTTTCAGATCTATCGTCAGTGGGTGCAGAGGTAGAAGCGCAGCAGTGTACAAGCAACACGAGTCGGTCTCGCGACAGCTCTAGAGGTGGTTCGCGAGACAGTTCTCGAGATCGTCTCAGCAACTCTAGTACGCTCGAGAGGAGATCGTCACAACCGCACAACCCGTTGAGACCTCTACCTGAAAATCTTACTTTTGATATGAGGTAAATCGTATTGTTTCATTACTTTATCAATTTTTTTTCCAATTTAGAATAAAAAAAAAATATTTGTGCCCATAAATTACAACTAAAAAATAAAAAAAGCGTTACTTCTTGTTTAAAAAAAGAACGATTTGAAATTAGTTGTTTAAATTTGAAGTTAAGAATGCCTGGTTTAAAATATAATAGCGAATATATAATCACTACTCGTTGATTATATATACGGTATGATAAATAAATTTTTCAGTTGATTGCTCATAGTACGTCTTGGTAGCAAAAGTTAAGAAAGTATCTTCATATATAATTTAATTTCAGGAACGTGCAAGCGATGACAGATATAAAAACAGAAATAGGCTATGCTCGTGCCTTTGTGCGTCTGTCTCTTGAGAAAAAGCTACTATCAAAGCACCTCAGAGAACTGCTCTCGGATACCACGTTGCTGAGATCCCAGTACAAAAGAACAGCCTTTTTACGCTGCGAGGAGGAGAGGGAACAGTTTCTTTACCACCTCTTGACGTTAAACGCCGTTGATTATCACTGCTTTACAAATACTTATCCTACTACTAGTATGTATACTTAAGAAGATATTCTGCTTAATAAAAAACTTTTATATTTTTCACAAGTTATTATCAAAAAAACAGTATTATCTGTAGTTTAAGTACACATTAAATAAAACAATTTTAACGGTTTAAAACGTGAAATATATTTGTCAATCTATTTTTTTAATTTTATCGACACCTGTAAAGCATCCGAAACGTGCGGCCCAAGGTAAAATAAATTAAAAATAAGTTAACTAGTATATTTCGCATTTTAAACCGTTTAACGTGATTTATTTGAAAATATTAGTCTGTTTTATGTTCAAGACAAATTTTTGATTAAATTATATTTGCATTTCCAGAATTACCATATCGTGTTCTCATCGTTCCGTCGCGGAAGGCCAGCCAAACAACTGCTAATTGCTGGCTCTCAATATCAGGTGCTAATGGCGAGTCTACTCCGAAAATACCGATTCCAAGAAACACTAACGAATTCGTTTTTCATGTGAGTAAATGGAAATTAACACTAGTATATACATTGTTAGACTTTATTCTAAAAAATATTTGCGCATCTATAGATATGTACTAATTATTATTACGGCAACAGCGCGTTCTATAATATTTTAACAAGAAACGCTGCCAACCTATTTTGGCTTTGGATATTTGGTAGATTTCCAAATCAGTCAGAAACCGAAACGCGAATAAACTTTTCGACTTTTTCATCTGTGAAAGGTGGTTCGTGACCCGGACGGAATTTAGATATTCCTACCATCCATCCACGAAGACCTGGTGGGGGATCGAATCCATGACCCGTTGATTATTAGCCATACGTTGTTACCATTTTACCAACTGCTTATAAAAGTATTAAAATTCCTTATTTAGTCATTCGTTTGTTTTCTGGCTTATATAGCCTACGAAATGAAAAAACATATTGCTCGCATTTCCATGTACATAATATTAGTATTGGAGCTTTCGGCATTAATCATAATTTTATATTTTTTTCCACAGCATAAAAATCTTGGCATTCTCTCAACCTTACGTATTGGTCATGATAACTCAGGTTTGTCTCCGCGGTGGTTACTAGATCATATCTACGTGAGGAACGAAGTTACGGGACATACTTATTTGTAAGTATTTTAATTTATATTTCTAATTGTTATATTATTTTCTTAATAAATCATGTATCTTGCTTTTTCGAACCGGCAAAAGTATAGTGCAAGATTGTAAGGAAAAATACGGTTTACAATCTGGTAGTGAAAAGTCAAAAATGTAAAGTTGAATATTAATGTTATGCCTTATCAATAATTTGAAGTAGTTTCTCCAGTAATGAATTTTCTATCAAGTATTATGCGTAATAGCGAGTTTTACATTACGCAAAAGTGCACAACGCTACTCTAAAGAAGTTTTCCTTCCGACCAATAAAACCAATATCCACCTATTAAGTGAAACTTATCGTGGAATTCTGTAATGTTCCAATGATTTTTAACTTCCTCCATGTCACATAAGTGGCTGTTTCGCACATTGGCCGGCATTTCAAAACTTTAATATTTGGCACGGGATGGCAGTTTTATAAATACTTCTATATCTTAAAAATTGTCAACAAAATTGGTAGCCCAATTGGTTAGACCGGCATCACGAAACACAATGGTGCCGGTGAAGTTCCATTGTATTGTCAAATTTATTCAACCTAAATAGATTTTAATTTTCTGCACATATCTCCAAACCAACCATGGACATCTCGAGATTATAGTAATAATTGTTTTTTTAGATTCCCGTGCAACCGATGGCTGGGCACAGGCGTAGATGACGGTTCCACCGAACGCGTCTTAGTCGCGGCCCGTTCAAGGGCTCGACAGTCGAGGCACGCTGAACACGCCCAACAAGTGCTCTCGCCGACCACTACACATCTGTCCACTTCAACTATACAACACATGATCGGTTAATATTATTTTTCTTGATGCTTTACACACTAAAGTCTCTTAGCATTATTATGTTAGGTTATAAAGTTTTCCTTTAATAGCTTCTAAATTAAATTTTGAAGATAGAGATTAAGTATTATCTGTAGTTAGTGCATACAATAAAGCAATTGAGAACTAAGGTTTTTCACATGTTCTCGATTTTTAAGTTAACAATTTCCGAGCAAAGCTTATGTTTACACCCGAAACGTCGGTCCCTAGTTAAAAAAGGTTAACTAATGTATTAAAAACCGATAAAAGTGTTTTATTTAATGATAGAAGTTTTAAAGTCCTTCTCATACTTTGTTATGTTTATTAAATCCTTTTATTTTCTAATCCATGTATTGTTGGTTTAAAGTCACGTTAATGTTTTTGTTCCCATTAAATATATGTCAATTAAACATGTTCCAGGTGATTGTGTGAATGCGATTGTAAAATGGCATTACCAATCGAAACGGGAGAAGGACGCTAACTCTCTGAGTGTCCTGCTTTGCGGCGAAAACGGTCTGGTGAAATGTCTGGAGCAAGCTTTTCTGTGTGGATTCAAATCGGCGAGACTTTTTGGAAAGAATCTCTTTATTTGGGACTACTTTAGTATGTTGATCTTAATTAAAATAATATTTCAAGAAGATAGAAGTTTGGTAAACACAGACGGAGACTAAGTAACTCCATTGTTTTGAAAAACTTTATTTTTTTTTGCAGTGAGAGTTAAGGATGAATTCAAAATGAGTTTGTGTGATGAGGGAAACCTTCAAGCGAACAAAAGCTGTGGTGTTGCCTACAATTGCCGGCAGGACCAGGAGCATAGAGCCATTTGGAGATGCTACTGCCATCTCATGGATGAGATCAATTCCGTCGGTAGAACTCTTGGGAAGGACGGAAAGTTTCAGCTGTTTGTATGTCTTAGTTTGCGGTAAGTTGAAATACTTATTTTTTCAAGAAGTTGTTTCAATAATGTTCACTGTCATAATATCATTTAAGCAAATACATGTGTATATAATTTTATTTTTACATACTATTGCACATATGTTTATGCGTATGTTTTAATATTTTAAAAAAGTTATGCAAGTGTAAAAATTTAAATCCAATTCTGCGAAAGGTGCATGTACAAATAGATTGAAAAAGTTCCACGATGTTGAGTTGGACACGGTAGCTCAACTAGTTAGCTGTTAGAGCAACAGCACGGAATGCCGTGGGTGCCGGCTCAAGTCCCGCTCGAGTCGTAAAACTTTTTAATCTAATATCCATTTTTTAATGTAATATATTTTATTATAAAACAATTTATCGAGATAAAAATACAAAATAACTGCGTGTTAGATTTCCCCCTGATCATCAATTTCATTGTTCCTTATCTTTCTGAAACGTTTTTTTTTTATATTTCCAGTGAACATTGGCTCCATCGAATGCTTGTGCCGATGTCAATGACTCGCGTGACGGCGGAAATGTACGAAGAGCAAAGTTTTCTTCGGAAACGCGGATTACTCACATTTCTCAGACAAATACTCGAACCTCTCGATGAATTTGATATTGTACTAGAAAACTCATTGACTCAAGGTATTTAAGTGTCAAGTTTTGTTCTTAATTTACTTTGATACTGTTTTAACATTAGGTCAGTGTGGAGTTAAGCGTAAAAGTTTTAATAGGAGGTAAACATTCATGTTTATACTTACATAATATTATAAAGCGTCATTTTATTTTTATAGTAGTCTAGTCTAGAGTTGGGACGTATTCCAGGTCTCGAAATATTCGAAGCTAAAGATTGTTCTGTGTGCGTTAATGGATGTAATGCCAGATTTGAACTCGAACATAGTCACTGGTTACTGCCTTTTACTTAAACATAACTGCATGCGTTTAAAATATTAATGACAACACTAGAAGTAGTTTGAAAACTGTTTTAAATTCTTAATTTATTTATTTTTCTCAAATCTAACAACACTAGAGACGGTAGTCAGAGTTTATTACATTTTGAATGATGTTTAACTGCAAAAAATTACTAAAAATATATTATTTCTATTTTCTCAAACTTAGATTATAGATTCAATGAATGTTCAAAGTAGCTTGTTCCGAGCGTTAGTTACTTTTTATGTATTCGAAAAGGATCTTAACTAAATACTCCGCGTATGAATATTTTAGTAATATGACTTATCCCTAATACTCAAGCTAAGTAGAGCTCTGAAAATGAGTATTTTTTTTATTATTATTAAGTTGTTACATTCATGGTATTTTTCTTGCTTGCCATGTATCCAAAGATAAGCTCTTTTTACGTTACGAATTTATATTAATTTCATTTTGTTATGTTTTTGTAACATTTAGTTCAGTAAGTAAGAATTTAAAAATGCTAGCCAAATTATTTATATGCATAGTTATAGTAATCTATAATTGATATCGATTTTATTATTAAGACTTTTAAATCTTCTTATACTTTTTAATACTTTGACTTTGTTCCTTTTTTCATCTGAATTAATAGTTTTAAATCTCGAAAGGTTATTTACTGTCATAAGATTAAGTTAATATGCACAATAAGTGAATTGTATTAAGATAATAGTCATTGCTCTTAATGGGATTCAATTTTAAAAGCTGATATAAATGCACAAAATGGTCAATCATGGCGATAATCAAATCACCTATGTCAATACGAACACAAGGTTAATAGGGAAGATAATTAACCATATTTATAGTGAAACTGGGACTCTTTCAAACTTGGCAGGACAAATAACCTTCCACAAACTCATACTTCTCGCCGCGTATTATTTTAAGGGGATTGAAGGAAAGAGACTATGCTCTATTAAATATTTTTGTGAAAATACTAGTAACGACAAATCGGAGACAATTTATCTAAGTTTCGGCTTAGTTAACCCTTCAGTTTGTGTGTTTTGGCATGTATCCTTGTTTAAATCATTTCACACTTGAAATAATTAAATATAAATTATTAGCTTCTTGGTCTGAATAAATATATATGATCATTTTAGGTGCCGTCCTGCGCAGTAATTGTAAACAATTTGTGCTCTCTTTATTATATCCGTCTACATTATGTTTCCCTGTTTGTGCCAAAAATGAAATAAAATTTCTGATGTATCATTTGCTTTTTCCAAAATAAATTTGTCTTTTGATGTAGATTATGGTGTCAGCAGGCATATTATTGGGAGTCAAAATAATTTACCGCATTGTGCGGTTTGCTTTAAAAAGATCTTAATATGATATTATTTTTAACATACATTGAATATTAAAGTTGAAATAAAGGTACCAGTCCAAATAATGAGGATATTATTAAGAAAGATGTAACATAAATTATTTTGATGTATTGTGTCTTATGTCTTCCTAGATAATTTTCTGTATCTTGCTATCTGTACCAAAGATGTAGTTGCTAGAATCATTCTCTGGCTGTATTAATTATAATTATTATTGTTTATAATAAATGTCGATAAGTAAACATAACTTGTTGTTTAATTTTATCTATACAACTCAAAAACGACTAATTCTATATTGGCTCTAAAAGTACTATAGTAAAAATGTTAATAAATAATTTTTTTTATTTAACATTGTAAACAATCTAACATAATATTATGTAACCTTTTGCATAAGTTTTTGAAAGAGTGAGGAGTTGAGTAACATCAATACCACTTATATACTATTTTCATTTTGACTTAAATAAATGCAGGTTTCTATTGGACAAATGGACAAGATATTTCCTTACATTTGCGCGAAAATCAAGTTAGACGTATAGTAGGTATAGTAGTATATTGTATATCTTATATTAAAACAGACTATTATTACAATTTAATATACAACAATATTTTGCGCTTTAAACCGTTGGAAATGTTTTATATCTGTATTAACATTTTAGTTATTGCATTACATACTAATTACAAAAGAGTAATGTAGGCCTAACCATTATCATTATACTGTATGTTCAGCCAATATTGTTTATGAAAAATGACTTTTTATTTTTATAATAATAATGCCTTCTAATTTTTAAATTATTTATAAAACCGAGGCTGAACACAATAATTCAAGGTAAAATAGAATAATCTGTGGATATTGATTACTTTATTCCTAAAAGCATTAGGAAGATTGCCATGCCACAGATAATAGTTGACGTAACATAAAAACAGTGTCAAAAAAGAGTAAAAAAAAAACATCTTTGCTATGTAGAGGGCGCAGCACGGCTTGTTGTTCGGGTTTTGATTCGACATACGACAAGTAAGATGGCGGCGATTAATGTGAAAGGCGAAACGTTGTAGTTTTTCTGCTTGTAAATAAAAGTAGTAGCATATTTGGTACCTTGGAATATAACAAAAGTAAAGAAACCCCTTAGTTTTGTTGTGTTAAGAGTATGTGAACGTTTGTGTGCAATTAATAACGGTTTAAGTGGTTCTTCATTTCACAATAGACAAAACCCGTCGTCACGAGCACAAGACGACTCGAGGCCATATTTATGATGTTATCTGTTGTATGAGCGTCCTGTGAAACCGCTCCGATATTATAAATTTTAAAACTAAAGAGATGGTACGTCCCCCTTCGTATTTATCTTTTACCATTGTATTGAATTTTCTATAACCTGGGAGGTGAAGCGCATTGACGCTTCTGTAATAGCGGCACACATCTTCACCAATTGTGTGTATGATATTTATATGTAAAATGCAAAACAATTGTTTCTTTTATTTCTCGACAAAAACATTTTTATAAATCTTAATAAAAATATTGACAAAAAGTTCTATCTAATAAGATGGCAATGCATTGTTATTGTTTATTTATACGTACTCTGCTTCGTTTCAGGGGCGCAATCCATGTTTTAAGAAGAATTAAACTTGAAAGATGATTATAATATGTGATGCAATTTAGTGGTATTTGACAATTTTTAATATAAACTATGGATGAAAGTGTGGACCTATATTGATATTAAAAACACGCAAGACGGAGGTGGTAATGGATCCAGTAGGACCATGGTCAGCATATGCTTCGTACAATCGGCTAGCTGGTGTTCAGGCTGGTGCTGCAAGTGGAGATTTTCATCACCACCTAGCAAGCAGTGGAACAGGCCTAGGCAGCCAATCGGTGCCATCAACCACAAGCCAATTGTTACTTCAAGCAGCTCATACAACTGCATCTCTCGCTGGTCAATTGGGGTCATCAACTGCATCACCATTTAACCCTAGTAGTTTTCTATCACCACCTGCTGTGAGCTATGATGCTGTGTTTTCACCGTTATTTCACCCTGCAAATCCAAAACCTGCACACTACAGTTCTTCTTTGCAACATCGCCAAGTCATAGCACAGGCTCAAGCTGCAGTAGCTTCTAAACAATCATCTGTGGAAACAGAACTATCATCCCTGAGAGAGAATTATTCTCATCAGGCTATTGCTGCCCAAGGAACATCGTTTTTTGATCAACCTTCAACCCCCGGAGGTACTGCAGGTTTAAGTTGGCAAGGAAATAATCAGTTGCCGAGCCCATTTGGAATACTACCTCATGAAAGTGTTGTGCCCTCATCACCTAGCCCTGCAACAACAAAAGCAGGAGCTACATATGAGAATTTTAATGCTCATTTTGCTGCAGCTCAAAGTTTAAATAATCACATTAATTCACAAATTACCAATGCTGGTAAACCAACAAATAGGTCTGGCTCTCCAGCAAATGCAAGTAAACAACCCGTCTCTTCAGCATCTACAACATTTTTTCAATCTCCATCAAGTTACGGAAATCAAAGTGACAATTCATATAGTACAAGTGGTTCTAAAAGTGCACTCTCATCACAACAGGATTATGCGGGAAGTAAGTCATATTCGAGTTCTGCAAGTTCCACTGCTCATTCACAGCAATCTTGTATAGTGTCAACTCCACCTGTAACCTCATCCCCGACTCCTACGAGTAAAGATTTCCGTTCATCATCATCCAATACTTCCCGTCCATCTGCTTCTATTTATAATTCCCAATCTCCAAAAAGTACTTCTAGTGAAAAACTGCGACCTACGAGTAGTATTAGTGGCTTTGTATCCCCATCCAAACCACCTCAGGTTCAGACTAAAGCTCAAAGCAAAGTTTACCCTGAGATAAACAGTGAACAAAGAAAAAGTTGTGAATCTATTGATAAATTGCAACCACAGTCTTCCCCAATAAGCTATTCTATCATGGATGCCCCCGGTAGATTAAGTTTCAACAATTCTAATGGAAGCTCTAAATCAAATAGAATAGGAAATGCCCCATACTCATCTTCTCAAACTTCTAGTTTTCGGCACTATCAAAGTGGGAACAATGTTGAAACAGATTATCATGTGAGAGCTAAAAGCAGTTCTAGTACTGACACTGGCTACTCAAGTAGTAGTTCTCAAAATGGTCCTGATTGTAGTATAGGAGCAGCCAAACGGCAAAGTCCCTTGCATTCTGCTCCACAGACATCACCATTAGGTCATAGATCAAGCCCTGCATATCCCATCTACCACAGTCCTATGAATTCTATACATTCACCTCAACAACATGTCGCGGAGCACTATAGTAAAGTTAATAATACTGCTCCTAGGTCTCCTTTAGATGCATCAATATCACGGCCACCATCACAAAATAGTCAAGTAGCTTATCCTTCAGTTATCACTCGAGCCCTAGGTATAGAACAAGCTAAGTCTTTTAATGAAAATCGCTATGAACGTAACCAGAACTCTGCACCAAACTGTTGGGAGTCTGAGAGGCAAAGAAAGTATGCTAGTAGTAGTAATAATTCTAGTGGTAACTCTAATAATAATTTTAGTAGTATAGCGGAAAGTAATACTCAAAATGTAAAGTCATTATCTCAATCTCAAAATTCTATGGAAAGAACGTTAGGTTTAAATGAAAAACATAATTCCTTTGATGGTAATAATGTTGCATTACAAGATTTATCTAGTTGTCGTGGTGACCCTATGAGCATAGTTAAGAATTTACAAAGCTTACAACAAAGTTGCCAAGTACAAGAATCAAAAGCAAGTAAAAACCAAACACCAGTAGCAACTCCTGTTCCTGTAGCTAAAGTTACCAGAAGGAAAAGTACAGAAAAGCCTATTTCCCATTCAAATGAACTTTCAAACGCAGCTGTAATGGCAGACTATTTAGCAAGTAGAATACCACCCCCTGCACATAGTTCCACAAGTAATCAACAACAAAATGGAAGTTTTTTTGACTTTGAACGGTGGAACCTTCCACCACCTCCTCCAAAAATGTTTCCTGGCACATCTGCTTTTGGTTCTCAAGCACCTCTACATGCCACAAATTTTAATCAACATCAAGCTCTTGCAATGCAACATGGGCATGCATTGACATACTTTCCTACATTTCACTTAGGTCCTCATCCAGATTTCCAATCCTCTGTGGAGTTAACACCTTTATCATCATTCAGTGAAACTCCACCTTCGGCTTCCTCATCATCGTTTTCAACGCCTGAAACTCGTGAAGAGGAACAGCCTAAGGTGGTAGTGCCCAATATAGAGGAAGAACTTGGTTTCCTTGCAGAACAACGAGCAAATTCTGCGTCGTCGGTAGCACCCACTTCACAGCAGCCGAACTTAAACAGTGCTTCCCAAGACACTACTTCGAAAATTATGGAAAAAAAATTCAATGTCCCAGTCACGGGCCCGGGGTCAGGCTTCATGGCTTCTTATTTAAAATTTTTACAAGGAGAGCGGGATACGTCTCCACCGCCGGCCGGCCGAGGCGCTAGAAAATCCACTTGGTCGCGATCGAATACGAATAGTAACACAGTTAATAATAAAATATACAACCCGAGTGAGGCCCAAAAAAACCAATGTGACGTAAATTCAACTCAAAGTGCAAATGGTGCCATGGCCTCTTCGAACGTTTTAAACACAGCTATGAGCCTTAATCCTGGCATGAGTCCAGCGCCAAGTATGAATACGGCAGGGCTGCTGGGCGCCAATCAACTTCCAGGGGCGAATCTTCTGGGTTCACAAGCGAAGGGCGTCGAAATCGATGACCCCAGATATTACCATTTGAATAAAGACAGAAAACGAAAGTACGATGGCTCCGAAGAGGCCACTTACGATGCAGAAGAGGAAGCGAGACGGTTAAATAAGCCCGTGTTGAATGTGCCCAGTACGCCGTTAAACGATAAAGCGAAAAAAGGTAGATCGACCGCGATTAATAAGGCTACGCCATCCGCCGTAGTAGCGCCCCAGCCGGCCCCGCCCAAGAAGCCGCGACCGCCCGCCCCGGCGCCCGTGGCCACTCTGCAGGCTGTGCCGCAGCAACAGTACTATTACCAACATCAGCCCGAAGAAGGTGCGTTCAATTTATTAGATTTCCATTTGAGAAGTAGAGCGCGATGGTGAAGAACTAGCCCTGAAGCTTGTATGACAGGAGCAAGCTAACTGCCACACTGGCAGCCCACTGTGAAAACTTGTTACATTTTAACTGTGATATGTAATTTTTTTATTAGATGAAATCTATAACAATAATTATTAATGACAATTGTAAATAATTTATACCATAAAATGTGATGTATCTATCTGCTAGAGGTTGATATTTTAGGGTTAGCTTGTAACAAGATTTCACCATAATTGTTGTTTGTGATGACACACTACTCGTGCCATTTAATTGTAAATTGTAGAAATTTGTGACTCTTGTCATACTCGCTATTGAAGGGGTGCTACCATTAATAATTCCAAAAATGTGGTATATTTTTCTATGGGTTTGATACCAGTGGGTGTCTTGTAAATATAAAATGTATTGTATTTACAGTATTCGGTTTAGTTTGTACTTATGATAGTTATTATTCATATATTTCGCTGTTAGCTAAAGTGATTTTATATTATAAGATGAAATGCATAATACTTTGACAATTATATGCTGCGAGAAAATAATATTGTATTTAGGAGGACATGACCGGAATATACGTTTTGTATTTCTATTTAATTGTTATTTGTTTATGCACAATTCTCAATATTTTATGTAAATAATTTTGTATAATAGAAGGAAAACATAAAATAAATGCGAGTATATTACTGACGTTTGTGTTAAATAATTTTAGTTTGTAATTATTCCTGGTAGCACCCTTCAATTCACCGAAATAGGGATAACATGTCCATTGTCTGATATTGTCGCGATACTTTATCTTGTAATCTAGTATATGTTTGTTAATAGACATTTTTGTATTATGGAAATGTGCACATGTTATCCTATTGGTGAATAGTTCATCATCGTCCTCTCCCTGCCCCATCCTACCACAATACCGGGTGTCTATTCTATTTAGCTAGGTATCGATAAACAAACACGATTCATTTGGATAACTCAGGTAATACAAATCTGATTTTATACTTACCTTTGTGCTTTAAGATTATCGAGAGTTCTCTTTTACTAGGTGCTCACTCAGGTTTGGGTTATGGGGTGTACGGAGCAACGGAGAACGATGCAAACTCAAACAGGAAATTACACAACATAAAATCTCACCAGCAGATTCCTAACACTGGCCAAATTGATAATACGCGGCCAATCGAAGAGATGCCTTATCAGGTAATTCTTAAGTTTTTTTGTATAAAAATTCAAACTCTTGTAAAAAACTATTTAATTTTACTTTTCTTGAAGCACTCTTATCTCTTGTATAACATAATTAAAATATTCTTTCAGTCTGGAGAATTTGTAGCGCTGAAAAGTGAACTGACCGAAATGTGGCCGACGATATGGAGGGTAGATGGTAAAACTTTATTACAGAAATATGAACCCTTTGAAGACAATGGAAAAGTATTATACAGAAATATATCAACGGTAAATAGTTATTTCTTATTCGGTATTTTTTTGAATATTCCTTACAGGTTTTGTCTTATTTAATTGTATTTGTCTGAGTTTCAATAAAACTTGTCAGATATATTTATATCTAGGTTCTGGATCATTTATAATCTACGAGCATTTTTCTTTGCAAATTTTAATTTTAAAAATATGTTTCAAATCTTTTTTCAGTATTCAGTTTGGAATCCCGAGAACAAGAAACTCTACATTCAAGTCCAAGTGAAAATCCGGTCCCAAACGCATTTGGAAACAATAGTGGAATTAATAAGAAGCGATTTGCAAGTTGACGATTGTCACTTTATAGAGAAGAGAATGTTAGAGACTCAAATGTATCAAGAGAACTTTGAAGTGTATATACAAACGTTAATATCACATGCGTTAGATCCCAATTTCCTTACAGAGATATTCCAAGAACAAGGTAAGTTTGTCATGAAGTGACTTTTATTAACTTAAAAAAAATGATTTAAATAAAAATAGAGTAATTCTATTTCTTCTAAAGTGTCTTTGACATTTGTTTTGTGTTTAAAACTATTTCAAATGTTTGTATTACCAAGTAAATATACACAGGTGTTGGATGTGAAGGGCATAGTAGCGGACAAAATCGCAAATTGAATATTTATAATGTCTATATTGTTTTAGCTAGAATTATTATTCTTTTAAGGGACCAATATTTTTCTGTATAAAAACTTATGATAAACCTTTTATATTTTAGAGAATTCCTTCTAATTTTTTCTGCCAATAATTCTGCTCAATATTTAATAAAAATCTATGGTTGAAAGGTAGATTTACTTTAGTCAAGTTATTTCTTGAAGTAAAGGATCAGACTGCTTTATATTAATAAATCTGGTCATATTAAAATATTTAATATATATTTTTGGCAAAACAAATGCCAGAAATGCGGCAATAATATATTAAAATCAAAACACTGACAGCTGATTATTTTAGGAGAAATACAGATAAAAGAATAATAAGAACATTCAAGAGATTCTATATTCTATTTCAGATGAATACTTCTTGTCGAACGTGAAGACGGTAGACGAGGTGACGGAAACCATGCGGTCGCGGGTGTCCAGCGGTGTCTGTGGGGGAAGCGGAGGTGCGCGTTCGTTGGACGCGGCTGTAGGTACGTGGCCAGGGTTGAGCGTCGCTGCTGGCAATGGTGTGTGCCGCGCTTGCGTCCGCCCAGCCGTCGCTCGGTTACTGCTCTACGGACAGCCGTATAACCCTGCCACGTTGGAACCCGTTCAGCCGGATGCCAGGCTCGCTTACGAAAAGGTTAACCTTTCACACTATACATAATAATCCGTATGTTTTAGTAATAATACAAAAACTAGACAGGAGCATAACTATCTAAGTGTTGAATAGGCATGGTATATAATGGCTACGACGCGGCACGTCGGACAACATAACATAAGGCTAGTTTACTCACTTTTATATAGTGGCATAATTTAAAAATATTTGATATTTTCTTGACTTCGAATGGCGTTCTGCATTTAAAAGTCAAAAATCACTTGTTCGCGGAGCTAACTAGGTACATACATAGGTTATGAACGTAACACCAGTTTAAATTTACTGCCAGTTCAACCGGTTCAAATCAAGTGTAGAACAAACGAGAAGAACTGGCAAGACACTCGCCGCCACTCTTCTATCGCCAAGTTTCTTTTTACAGTGTTCAAGTACTTTAAATTCACTACTATTATTTCTTCTCGTTAGAGCGGGTTTCTCCAAACTACAAGCATTTTTATCATATAAATAATAATAATAACTATTACCAATCAGCTTTTATTTTAAATACGCTGTCATCTTATTTATTGACAATGCTTGCACTGGGGTTTTTATTAAAATATCGTATCGCGTACCTTGAAAAGAATACTTTTATAGAGCCTGTTGAATCAATAATTAAAAATCAAGACTATTACTTAACAACTCATACTATGTCACCATCTATGTAGATCCAAATTTCTTAACCCACGCTCCTCTGGCCCAAGAAAATTAAATCCATTTTCTATTTCCATATTTTTTCTTACTGTACATAAGGACTTATACATTAATTATAATTATCCAGTAGTTTAAAACCATCAATACATTATACTGTGTGAAATTCATTTCAGGAGTTCTTGGTTTGTGCGGCTTGTTGCGGGCGCGTGCAGCTATACTCAAAGATATCGCATCAGAAGTACCTCATGTACGCGGAGTGCAGTAAACGTGTCGCCGAAAAGCGAATGCAGAACCCCAGTAAAGACACCACTGCGATACTAAACGAGTTGCTCGCCGATGAACCGTGGCTGTCCCAGGTGAAAAAAAATATTAATTATTTTAACTGCCGTAGGGATACACTTTTAGGCGCACAAGGGGCCCAAAATCAATCTGCATTTGTCTCTCACAGTCTTAGTATGTCTTAGTAAAAAGATTATACTTATGAAAGATATAGTTTTGTTTAGTTAGTAAATGTTTGTTTAGTGTTCTGTGTATATGCGCCAAAACGGCTGAACTGATTTACATGAAATTTTTTATACAAGAACGAGTGTTTGTTAGGCTTGAGAACAAGGTTTTATTTAATTTTTCACACATACGCTCACAATAAGTTATTTACTATTTTCTACCAACATAATGTGGATCGGCTAGATTTAAACATACACACACATACTGATGCTTTTATATTTTGCAATATAATATTGATATATTTTCAGTTATTCCGCGACGTTCGGCATTCCTGGGCGGAGGCGGAGTCGTGGGAGAGGAAAATGAGGCACGCAATGTCAAGACAAATGATTTAACATTAGATGGGCGACATCGCTACGACCCGAAGGGTACTGTTCAAAATACAGTGCTCTTTATGGACAATCGATTAACTATTTAATATCTGTGACATGTGCTGAATTTGTTTTTATATTTTAATACATCTACAGACTAGCATTTAATTAGCATAATATACTTATATGCAAAAGAATATGGTATGCCTACAATTTGTGACACTGTGTAGCATTAAATAGGAAGTGAGAGTTGAGTTTTCTAAAAAAAAATGTCTATATAGAAAGTATTTATATTGCATAGTTAATAGTTTCTCCAATGCTACATGCAACTGTATACCATATTTTGCCTGTACATTTTCATCACTTACAAACATCACACTTTAGTTTGTAACATTGTTGAGTTTTCGGTTTTCTTATAGTATCTGTCAGTGCCATTTTCGTTAAGCACAATAACACAACCTCTTAGGATTTGATGTGTATTTATTAACAGAGAAATCGAGACAGTCAAAACAAAAAATGTTTTTGCACTGTAAAATGACTAGAACTATATCTTATGATATTCTTAATTATATATTTAGTGAACATTGAGATGTCGATTTTCTACTTTATTTTGTTATTTCCTCAATAGTATATCTTGACAACACCATTTTTGTTTAAAACAAAATACAGGTTGCCCTACTTAATAACTGACTCATACTGTATTTGTATAAAGCATAATGTTAATGCAAATAAACTGTTACCGAAGTAACTTATTCTACGAGGTTGTACCATGAGAACCTGAGAGCCTTATATAGTATGTGTGTGTAGTAAGAAGCAATAATTGTAAATATGATGGTTATCGGTGAGCACTTGTGCAATTCTGTTAAACACTTCTAGTTCAAGTGAAGTGTCGGCGATGCATTACACGTTGTACAAAGGTCTGTTAATTTGTATAAAACTTTGATGAAATCTTGAAAGTCAGAATGAATCCTGCCTAAATAATAATTTAGTTTCACAATTATTTAAAGTTTTCTAATAATCATTCCAGACGGTTTTAGCCATCGGATAACGGACTCTGAACGGTAACAGGAGCTACTTAGTATTTTTATAGATGGAATTATAGATATTAGAATGACTGGTGCCAGCCTTCTGTTGTACCACAAAAAGACCAAATCTACTATTGCCAGATTTAACGTGCATTGCCAATACCCAATAATAGTTTGTATTACAGAAACTTGCAAATATTCTTATTTTGAGTAACATGATCGAACAAATGGGATATTACCTTTATTTTTAAAACCTATTGCCTAGTTAAGTAGAATATATTTTGTATAATTGAATTGGGTTGTATAGGTTTAATTAACGATTTATCTACTGATATCAATAATAAGCATGTAAAATAGGTTCTATAAAGAGTTATTGTATAGAAACAGCTGATATTCCATTTCGAATAAAACGTATTTTCTCTGCATTGATCGGAGCGCCAATTTGTACGACTATTTTTACTACACATTCATTGACAGGAATTCTTTGAAATAAACATCTTACTTCAGAAATTGATTTTGATTGTTTACTTCATTTTTATAATACTCTTACTCTATTAACTTAGTATTGTCATACGATGACAAATATAAGGTTAGGTACAGTATGTTTGAACAACAATAATTTAACGCAGAAGAGTCTGGCATGACACCAAGAAGATTCAGTACCCAGAACTACGATCAAAACCGCTTGAACACAAACAGTGGCGTAGCTAGGTGGACAAGGGCCCGGTCTACCTAATCCTAAGGCTCAAGAAAGAAATGGGTTCTCACCCCCTCTTTTAGCATAGCTTGAATTAAATGAACCTCCAAAATTTTAAATAGCAACAAGAACGTTAAAAAATCCTTTTCTTCTACGCTTAAGTCTTCACAAAAATAAGGTTAGAGGGCCCTAGTGCACTGCACCACCTGGACCCATGATTGCTACGCTACTGAACACAAACTACTTAACCATCGCGTTCATAAGATCATCAGTGGCTGTACAGGCCCTTGTGGGCCCTAGCTAGTCGTTTCCGCCATTGCGATCTGTCTCGTGCTTCCTGTTTTCAGTTTTGGACGCCCACGAATTCCAGGTCCTTACCGTCATAACAGATGGAACTATTTTTGGATAGAACAAAAAGTTCTCTAATAAAAAAAAACTACAATAAACTACACTTTAACGGTTTAAAACGCGATATGCCGAAGTTAAAAATCATTTCCAAATAAGTTTAACTAATATGTCGCGTTTTAAACCGTTAAAGTGTTTTATTTAAATGTGTACTACCCGCGTAAACTACAGACAGTATTTAAAATAAACTATTTTAATGGAACTTTTATTAGATAAAAGTTTTTCTTCCTTCAATACTTAGACATAATTAGCACTACAACTCTAAGATCATGGTTACCGTGTTTATTTATCTATAGAACATGAAAATAGATCCGTAAAATCGGCCGTTCCCGTCTTCGCAAGGTTGGCATAACTTTTAAGTTATATAGGTAAATTTTAGACCTTTTATTTATATTTTTTCTTCATTCAAGGTTGACTGGAAGACATCTCTTGTGAGCAATAAGGCCGCCCATTACACTCTTGCATTTTAGTATGTCGTATTTGTATAGTTATTGTTCTTATCTGTTGTGCATTGGTTTTAACAAGGTTTTTTATATTGTAGAACGATATAGATTGAACTATTATCAATTGTCCGCAGCGAATGCGACGTAAGATATTTTTTAACCTTAAGTAGTGTCCGTTTGGTTAGAACCAAACGGCTTTCTGATGAATGATTGAAATCGGCAAAGCAGTTTTGAGTTATTGCAAACAAACAAAAAAATGGATTTTTTTTACTTATTGTGCAAATTATGTGCATTGTTCATTTTGTTAGGTTTTCCGATTATTGTATTCCGTAGTTGTAGTGATTAACTCGAGCAAGACTTAACAATATTGTGTGGTGGATATAAACAGTAAGGAAAACACAAATTTTAAATCGAATACTTTATTTGTTTGCACAAATGACTATGTTACATAAAATAGGGTAGCGTGGACCAAATTATCAGAATCCTGTAGGGCTTCACAAATGCACATTGCATAAACGTAAGTCACCACCAATTCATTTGTTAAAGTATGTAAAAGAAAAATAAAATGTCAAAAAATCATTGAGTTGAAATCAAAATATCGTTACAAAACTAGCCAGCCTGTTCGGAATCATAAAATTACATAAAGGCAAATAATACATACATAAATTAATATTGATTAAGTAATACATTTTGCAAGCAGACAAAAGAAGTATTAAGGTCCCAGTAAAGAATTAATCGTTATGTGCATAATATATCCTGTACTTAAATTATCACGAGGACGAGGCACGCACGAGGTACTGAGCGAAGACGGCCATACGCGGCCCGGGAGCTCCTTCCGAACGTTCCGTCATAAGAGCCACTCACGTGACGATAACCTATACATGAATCTAGAATTAACGTAACTTACGATAATTGCATATATCATACATCTAATTCATCATTAACTTATTTTTTATTCAGTTGCAAGTTTTATTCTTTTACTTTTTTTTTAGTATTTTTTATATTTTTTTTTATTATCATCTTAATCTCTTTTTGTTGCCACAGCACGTTGTTGCCGGTGAAATTTGCCTTCCACGAATGATTTAGTCCGATAAAGAAGTTATATGAAGCCGAGGTTCGTTATCTTGTGAGGTTATTCAGCATTGTCTTGTTTACGGTTGTATTGTGGGCGCGGCGGCCTGGAAGCGCCACGAGACGCACCACGGGGCCCACCTCGACCACGACTTTTGAATCCGCCTTGATAACCCTGGGCGTTGTCATTGTATCTGTCACGGCCACCATTGTCGTTTTGGTGGTGATTGTCGTTGGTATCGCCGTTACCATAGTAACCGTCATTTCCTCCACGGCTTTGGTAATCTTTGTGTCTATTCTGGTAATTGTCATTGTATTGCCTATTGTGGTAGCCATCTTTTGATCTGTTTTGATAATCTCCATGTCGGTTGTGATATCCATCATTGTTCTGCCTGTTTTGGAAGTTTCCGCGGCCGCGGTATCCATTAGGCGCACCTCTGCCGTTACCACGATATCTTCTGAATCTGTTTTGTCCATCTCCTTGTCCTTGCGACTTTCTTTCACCGTCATCTTCACGCTCGGGACTTCTACTTTCCTTATCTTCCAGTTCCTTTTTATCATCCAAGGGTGTAGGAGACTTGTGTTCTTCAGCTGACGATTGTTCTACAGAGTGTTGGGGAACTGGCTCTGGATGTATAATCTGTGATGGAATGTGCTGTGGCTGTGTGAGTATAGCTTGATGGTGTGCTTGCTGGGGCATAGGGTGTGATGCTTGTGGGTGGGGTTGGGGGTGCCCAGGCATGGGAATAGGCACACCAGTAAAGTGTTCAGGATGAGGAGGAAAATGAGGTTGGGGTGGCATGGGCATATTTCCTGCCTCAGGTATACGGTTAGGTGGAATCTGAACAAAGTGCTGGTTTGTAAATGTTTGTGTGGGGATGGCTGCTGGTGGTGAAGCTTGATTCATCATAGGTGGTTGTGGTGTACCAACCGGGCTGTCTATTTCAGATTCCTGGAGGAAGAAGAAATTTTGTGAACCTATAACTTCAGATATTGGTCTTTGTTGTGGATATTGTTGAGAAAAGTAGGCATGCTCTACTTCTTGCAGAGTAATAGGAGGCAATTGGCGTAGAGGATATCCTGGTGCGGGCACCACAGTGGGTGCAGGTGCTGTCGGAATGGCCATTGGTGGTGCATACATGGGAGCAGTTGGTTCTACTTCTTCCAGTATTTCTTGAACAGGCTCTTCAACTTCCTCCGTGACATGGTTTCCTTCAACCTCTGCTTCAGTTGCAGATTCAGGGGTCTTATCAAAGTAACCACATTCTTGTATTTTTGTTACAATTTCTTTAATATGAGCATAAGTTGTGCCCAATATTTCTTTTGGTTTGCCATCAATTATGGCGTATAAATGTTCAGCAGCTTTGACAGTTTGAGCATGAAATCCTGGGTTTCCTTCTTCATTTATGTCATGCTTGGGTGACACTTCAGGATACCTAAAAATATTATAAATTTACTAAGCCAAAAAAGTAAAAATTTCTTTAACTAAAATACCTAAACTGACATAAAAAAAACATTATAACATTGTCTTGTAAATTTCTTTAATTTCAGTGTAAATTATAATATTAACCAAATAATATTGCATCTTTCATACTTCATAAATCTTTAAAATTTTACTAAATAGAACTTTACTATAATTTTAATTTTTTAAAAGGTTATAAGTTTGTACTGTACTACAAAAAAGAATATCACTCACAGGTCATCCAAAATTCTAAGATCATCTTCAGTGAGTTTAGCAGCTCCATTGTTACCATTTAGAAAGTCTTCACGCACTTCGCTCTTACCCAATAACACGAGACAGTCCAAAATTAAAATTACTTCACGGATTTTGGTAGTATCAGCTGTATAACGGATCCAAATATCCTGTAGTTAAAAAAATATATTATATAACATAAATCGTGTAAGTCTAACTAAAGTCTAGAAAACCTGATAAGTGACAAACTGTAAAAGGTGTTTTAATAGAAGTATTGATTATTATTATGCTGTACTTACCCTTTTGGCTTGTTTTTTAGCTTCCCTTTCTGCAGAAACCGCAATTGAACTAACATTCTTTGAAAGGTCTCTAGCAAATTCCAGTGTTTGGGCCACTTCGTCATATTTGGCCACAGCAACCTTCTGATCTCCATTTAACTCTTTACCAGCTTTTTGTAGTTCCCGGTAAGATGATAACTTACTCTAAAAAATAAATAATTTTTTGTGAGTTAGAGTTTGTTGTGGGCTAGGTGCTTTAGTTAAATAATATATTAGATTACATTTCAGAAACATGACTTAGCACTCGACGATGAAGTTTAATGCTAAACATAAAATATTATGATAAATTTTTCGAAAACAAAAGACCGTTTGAATTGCGAAAATAATATGTAACTGTAACAAGAAACATGGAAAACGAATGATAATTAAATCTCCTCGAGTTTTGTAAAACAAAAACGCAGTGTAAAGTATTATATTTGTAAAGCCGCTACTTAGGGCGTCATTATTTAAAGGGGACTTCCAAGCACATGTATAAAAATGGCGTCAACCGAAACATTGACGTTTATTTACATGCACTTACCGCATTTAAAACGCACATAGAGTGATTAGTATATATACTATCGGTTACAAATCGGCTATTATTATAGTTAAAAGAGAAAAATACTTAATTTAAGTATTGTTTTAAACAAAAGCAACATTTTGTTATTAACAGTTGGACATACCTTTCTTTTCTCCAAGTTCCGAATTTTGTGTTCAATAAGCGTCATTATCTGCTTTATCGGTGTATTATCCGCTGCTTCCGAAGAAGCAGGCTTTTCAGATTTTGCATTCGCAGCTGAAGGCATCCTTCACAGGCAACAACTTCTTCTGGATTGGATATGGTGGCAGCAATGACAGGGTGGCCATGTTTAAAAGTTACCGGTGTGCCACAAAATGGACGAAGAGGTAAAATAAATGTTTGTTTTCATAAAGTAAGTTCAAACAATTTACTTTAGGAATCAGAATAATATTTTTTATATACTTACTTAAACTCAAATTTAAATTGCAAGCATTTAGTGGAAAAATCTATTAGCAATGTCTAAATAAAATATACATACCTTGCACAGAAGATAAAAGTAAGCAAAAATAAACTTACATTTTTATTGAAAAAAAAAAGAGCTAATACCTAGTATTTTTTGGATAATACACAAATTTTTGATACAACATATACCATTTTAAAACAATAGTATTATAAAAAAGGTGTATGTTCTGGTGATATAGATTACAGTAAAAAACTATTATCTGTGTATCTACGGCTGTATGTAATTTTGCTTGATTTTTGTTATCAAATCAGTTTGTAGTTTTAAATTTGTAACCTATACAAATTTCATTATTTAGTTACTTGCTCAGTTAACTACTGTTTGATAATAACGTTTTACATAAAATCAATTTTTGTAAACATTTACTCATTTTATAAGAGCGTGAGCATTGATCGACACTAAGTCCTTTTAAAGAGGTAAATCAAAAAAAACTAAATATAATAAATTTTAAACTGATCGAGATGCAAAGAAACTTGTACCGAATGGTAAGGCAGATACACAACAGGTATACAAATTTATATCAAGATATCATATGTATTAAGCTTTCTTATGGTAACTTCATTTTTAGGTTATAAATTCGGTTCGTCCGATAAATTTGAAAAGAAATAGCTTTCACACCACATCTGTTCGTCTTGATGCTCAGCCAACTGAAAAAAGTAAGTAGCTACCTGCTTAAGTACGACCCTCCTAGCTGAAGCAAAACCTCATTCACTCATGAGAGCTATTATTTTATTGAGTCGAAATTGTATAAGTGATTTTTACTATATATGATGGGTATGTTGCGCATTAAGAAAGAAATGGAATGGATTTATTATCTATATTTAACTAAGTACTGTTAAGCTGTTTTTTAATATACTGTAGTGTCTGCATAAGAGCAGTGTCATTATCTCTGTTCAGACACATTTAAATGTAATATTTTCACGGGTAGTTACATTTACATATAAACAGTCCTTTTTTTTATTAATAAACCACAATGATAGGTCTTGTACACCCTAGTACCATACTTAATAGAATGTTAGGAAAGACTAACTGATTTTATTTTATAGCAATCAACCAAGTCACACTTTTGGGACGAGTGGGTGCTGATCCACAAAAACGTGGCACTGAAGAGCGTCCCGTAATCAACTTTCCCCTGGCAACTCACTTCAGTTATAAATATGAATCTGGAGATGTTCTACAAAAAACAGATTGGCACCGAGTTAGTGTGTTTAAGCCAGGCCTGAGAGACACAGTTTACAAATTTCTTAAAAAGGGGCAAAGAGTCTATGTCACTGGCAAATTATCATATGGGGAAATTAAATTAGATGATGGTCAAGTGAGATCAGCTTCAACTGTTATAGCTGAAGACATAATTTTCTTCCAGAGTCAAGCAGAGAAAATGTAAACATTTTCATAAAGATAAGCTTAATTAGTATTTAGGTTGTAAGTATTAAAATAAAGCTAAGCTTATATTTTTGTTTTTATTGCTCATTACTTCGATGCTTAAAATCTTTGCACACAATTTCAATTGTTTTTCAGTCAGTTTATAAATGCATACAAAATAGTTGTAAAGGTACCAAACAGGTTACTATTATTATTTTTTCTATTAAGTAGTTGTAATATAATATTCTATGGAACAAAGTACTGACATCTTGAACCGCGCGGTATTTCATTATAAAAATGTTGACTTATACAAACGTTGAGAGAAAGTTTTAATTCTCATAAGCTGTGGCAAATCCTGCCTCATATTTTCTCCTTATAAAACATTACGTTTGTAGATTTTGCCTACCATATATTGTCAGGTAAAATATGTCTGATTTACTCTCGGCTCTTTATATATCAGTAAATCATAAATATTAAGGATTATAATCAAGAGGTCGTTGAGTTATTTCCCACCAGGAAATTTAGACATTAAATATGTAGGATTTTGGAATCTCCGTCTGGGTTATCAATCTTGTAGTTTGTGGTGACATTTTATACATCTATACTAATATTATAATTTATAAATATGAATAAATTGAATGTTAGAATGCGCTAATCTTAGGAATTAGTTAGGTTGTGGTTTGAATTGATCTATAGAAGCGAAGAAACAGTGTTGCGGAACAAACGGGGAAAATTATTCATCTTTGTGTTTCTGTTGCGAATGCGGTTTAAAGGACTCAAAAATATATATGAAAAAATTTGATCCTCTTATGAATGTTCAAAAAAATGTCCGAGTCAGTATATGTCGAACGGCGAAACGCGAACGACGTCGTGGATAACAGCTATAATTTACAAAGATAATGAGGATTTCAAAAACAAATTTTGACGCTCAAAAAACTATATACGCCGGAGAAGTCGCTTTCGCGTTCCTATCCATAATTTTAAATTGACTAGTGTCTTACTGTGATAAACCATGTAGAAAATAAAATGTTGGAAAACCTATCAAAATATTTTCGGGTATATTAAAAATCTGAAACTGGTTTGCTAACCTTATACTTCATTAATTTTTGTAGTTTCTTAAATTAATTGATCCTTCATCTTCATATAAAAACTGTGGGTGCCTTTCCATCAGGGCAATAAATAACTTATTTCTAAACAAATTCTTTAAATGGAGGAGGGGGGAGGAAGGAACTAGAATAAAATTTGGTTCAGTTTATCTATAATTTTTGAAAAAGTAACAACATGTTTTTCTTGAAACATTATATTTATACTCTTTACAAGTTGGAAGTGTTGGCATTCGTACGCCTCATAGAAATAAATGTAAAAATACAAACTCAATTATTTTTATCATACTTACTGATACCTAGGTACTTTGATAAAGCTCCACATTTTGTTTGACAAATCATACACCATACACTCATTTCTATAGCCTATATTATCACTAATATTTACAAACAATAATTTTAGTCTCTATGACAATATTTACCTAAGTATATTGATAAGAGATCACAGAAAATTGTAGCTGGAAATAATTGAGTAAAAGCCTAGCATACTAAGACTACCACTTTACAACTTTATCACAGAGGAATTTTAGATTGGTTTCAAGGCATTACGTTATGATTTTATTGTCCTTATAGTAATATTTTATGTAAATATTCTATTCTATACAAACTTTATTAATATTGTAAAGTTTCGTTATTTTGTGGTAGCTTTTTAGAACAAATTAATCAGTTATGCGCTACAATTCGGAAGTCTGCCTAATAAAGAACCAATGGAAGACAAACATAATAAGATTGCTATATATAATCTTTGTCGGCCATATCTGTTCTAGTTGTTATACTTAAAGGAAGAATATGTTATTCTTATTTATAATAATATAATACACACTAATTAAATTAACAAAATGCAGTATCGCGCATACAAACACTTATAATACGCTTCACTATATTTACTGTTTTGGCAATACATATGTTTAGTTAACTGCCAGAAATCAGTCTGCAGTTTATGGTCCATTGCACATTTATATTTTAATGCCTCTATGATTCAACACAGTAATCTCTGTACCCTTGTCTAACTAAATTATATCTATAATATATAAAATATGTAATTGACACTATCATTTAAAATCACGTGGCACAAAGGCATTTCTCAAGGTCCCTACCCTGTTGACTCCAAGTACCGTATATCTGTCAAAGCACTCTCAGTTAATTCTATTATAACTTCTGTGAGTTATTTATAATTTTAAGGAAGACTGAAATTATTACCGAGAGGTATTTGACTAGAAATATATCGGGTGGAGTTAGTTACACTTCAAAATCACTTCACAAAACCATATTATTGTCTATTTTCTTAACACAAATCATTGTTCGCACTTTTCACTTTTGAGGTTAAGGGCGTAATATTCTGAACTATATTCAGATTCTGATTTCATCATCATATTATCACCGATCAAAGTGCTAATATAATGTTTGTCATGTGTCGGCGTCGGGACCGGGTTGGAACGTGGTCGCTTTCGCCACGGTTCTGTGGCCGTCATACTCAGATCTGTTGGCATATCTTCTTCAACGTGGTCATCTTCGCAACGTTCTTCCTTTAATTCAGCCTTCACTAAAGACTGCTGCTGTTGTTGCTGTTGCTGCTGAGCTACACGTGTTGGGCTCATTTGTTGCCTTAATAAGGAAATATTTTTAATGTTCTTAAGTTCAGTTGGATTTCTAAGGAACCTGTAATTGAAGAGTAGTTTTAGTTCTAATGTTATTCATGGGGTTGACAAAGATTGACATACATATTTGGTAAAATATTTTTAACTTACTGGTAACAATGCCTCTCTCCTTGAACTTTGCGTAATATATTTACGCGGTAATAGTATCGCAATGCCCGAGACATTTTGTCGTAGTTCATTGATAGATGGTTTTTCTGAATTCCCCAAAGCTTAGCTAGTCCAGCAGGGTCAACAATTTTGAAAACACCCGTGTCTCTATTCTTCCATGCAATGTAATTTGTGTATCGCTGGGTAGGATCGTTGAGGAGTTGTTGCAGGAAATCCCATAAAAGTCTTCCGTCTATAAAAATAAACACATCATGAATTTACGAATCCAGCTAGTAGTAAGAGGATTATATAAAAAACAACAACTAAAATAGACGTTATTCATCACATTTACTTACTTGTGTTAGATTCTGGCATATCATTCGGGAAAAATTCTCTATGTTGTGTCCGAAAGTGTGAGTGTTGCGCTACTGCGTGAGGTTGTGGGGCCGGACTCGGTAAAGGCGTGTCTTTAGGTGAATGAGGTGGAGGAGCAAATTTAGCTTCCTCGTCTGAATCGGACTGATTGCTTCCAGAACTTCCTGTTTGTGTGGGTACTGGAGGTGCATACGATGGCGCGTAACTCATAGACTCGCCGCGTTGAGGGCTTCCCGAACTATCCACAGATGGGGCTGGACTCAAGGTTACAGAATTTGGCTGGGCAGCAGCTGCGGCAGCCGCACTGTGGAAGTGGTGGAAACCGTCTGCGACCGCCCACGTTGGTGTCGGTGGGTGTGAATGCGGGGAAGGTGGGTATGGAGCATTTCGTGCCGTCGGTGTCACCGGAGAAGATGGGACTCGACCTAATAGTGCCGCGTCGCGGACGAGCATTTGCAAGACATTATGTAGCACGTCACCGGCGCCAGGGCAACGTTCTCCTAGATCCGTTTTAGTTAAAAGGCATAAAGCCTTACCTGAAAAGGAATAAATGGACTTTACAATTTTTTTTCGATAATTAACGTTTCAAATTTCGATATAACAAACGTCTATGTATTAATTAAAATCTAAGACAGAAAACCAATATTAACCATTCATTTGGAAAAGATCCATGTCGAAGTTCGGCAAATCGAATTCTCTTTCGCACCACTTAAGGAAAACAGCCACATCTTCCCTCGTCCATAGTCTGGGTTCTGGAGGGAGACCCGCTGGCAGTTGCGCTTTGGCGTCTCCTAGAGGTGAGAGCGGAGGAGGTGCCCATGGTAATGGATACCGCCACAAGAGTTCCGTCGGACTGAATGGCAGCGGGAGCCGCTCCATGCTTGGTCCCGATGGCAATTGTAAACTAACTACTTTCATTACGGCAATCTGTAAAAGGGGAAGCAATATAAAAATCTAGCATCATAATGCCAAACTATTTGAATTACGGAAGTGAAAAAAAAATAATTTGAAGCAGGGAAATTAGCAGTAGGCTCAGTATACGCCGATTTTTAGCAAGTCCTTATTGCAATAACTAAAATACATAATAGGCTATTGTTTCGTTATTCGTATAAAGTTAATAATTTGATAAAAAAGGCTACGCCACAACAAATATAGATGGTGTGGTTGTACAACTAAAGTTTAGTTACAATATTAAATTTCCTATTTAATAAACTGTAAGTTTATTCTGTTTTTTTAATACTTTTAGAAGCCTATAGTTAGTTAGTATAGTACCAATTTTATAATCCGTGCTCCGCATTAGTGTGGCTATTCAGAGTAATGTACGATCGCCCTAACCATTCAACGGGCTAAAGGGATGATTTTGGCGCAAGGGGACATCGTATCATAATACGTTTTCACGGTGAATTTGACGGGGGAAGTTTAGCCGCACGTGTTTGACGAAAAAGTTTTGTAGTAATTTGATAATCCCAAGATAGAAAATTCCAAGTAAATTCACCTTTTACGCAACTATAGTAACATTAGAGAGGTAACTTTTAAATAGTTCTTTCTGTAAGCCACATAATATTGCCTTATCGGGTGGGGTCGGAAATGCGTGCGGTCGAGATAGCGCGGCCTGTGATAAGCACCGCTACTTACCGGCTGAGCTGATCCGGAACTGGTTGCGTCGTCAAAAATCCTAAGAAGCGCTCGGCGACAATTAGTAATTTTAGCACATACGCATTATCACCACACAAAAAATCACAATATCCAGTGTTCACAAGGGCATAGCACACGCGTAAAAGGTTGTCCCTCCAAACGTGTCGTGTTACGGCACTCCGTAAACCAGCAGCGTATCTGAGGGAACGACTTCGCAGACGAGCGTCGCGAGTAAGTCTCGAACGCGAACTGATGATGCGGTGGCGGCGCGGGCGGACGGACGCGAGCGCCTGCCCCCCCCGCACCCTTTACCACATCGCCCGCCACACATTGTCGAGAACGAGATAAAACTTCGGGAGACGATCCGAATCCCGTTTTTATCATACTTGTACCTATTAACGACGGATCCGGAATTTTAGTGCAGAAGTCATTAGCGATTAGTACATAGTAGTATCTAGTGACAAGATTTCCTATAGGTTTATAACGATAAAGAAACAATTGCGTACGCTAAGGGCATGCGGAAGTGCTAGTTGTGCGGTGGGATTACGTCAGCGCGCCAGTTTTTAATAACTCGTAATGTTTCCTTGTTTAAATACTCGACTGTGTAGTGTAAATAAAAGCTGTCTTAGAGTGAGGATTCATTTTATGATATTTTTACTTAGAGCCTGGGAAACATATCCACTAACCTAAAGTAGATTTAGTTTAGCAGGCAGTTTTAAATTCTATATGGGTTAAAGTTTCCTTAAATGTTGGTATACCTATCTACTTATACTAGGTAGGTATCATTATATCTGACATTTGTAGTACCTAATATTACATTAGTTTGTATTATTTTAATATTGTGGTCATGTCTATTTCATAAAACCTTTAAACAATTAGGTATCAAATAAAACATCTTTATAATTCATATCTATCGTAGGTATATAGCAGACCATAAGCGGCACCTAACAACCGGTTCCAAATATTCGTCATGTAATAAGTAGGTAGGTCCACCAAACTATAAAGATATTTAGTCTTATTGTTATTTAGTCTACAGTTTACACGTGACATTTGAAGTGTAAAGCTATCGGTTACAGTTATTATTAACGAGACGTTACTGGCTGAGAGAATCGCGCCAGAATTAATCATAAGAAATATGTAGACATAAACTTATGAGTTCCCTGGCTGCTTTCCCACTACCGGTTCGAGACAGAAATATTCGGCAGCCAAGGCGGAAATGGCCTCGGAATCTTTACCTGTTGCTCCCTTACCCCACCTCATTCCCGTCTGACGTCCGCGTCGGTCCCGCTCTCTCGTATACACAACGCGGCGCCGAAACGGAGATACCTACGTCAGTTGAATAAGTTCATGTTGTAAAGTAATTTGGGAAATTGTTCTCTTCCTGACCTTGACCTCTCATAGATACCTATTTTATCGAAGACATCTATAGACAATATCCAATTTCCCATTATGTTAACTATAATTTCTAGGTTATTTAGGTATCATGTCATATCAACATTTATACGGCTCCTGTTACACTAATTTCTTCGTTATTCCCAACGGATGGAAGCAGTAAAACTAACAATCCAAAGAAACAACGTGTATATCTTCACCTTGAAGTTAAAAAACTTATTTGTATATTCAGGAAATGAAAATTTGAGCACAATAATTGCTTTTTTCAGCAGTAGGAAATGACATGTACCTACTCAAATTAACTGTTCGTCCTTTTTTTGCAAATGATTGTATTTGCAAATAGTTATTAAAAAATATTAGTATGTATCATCTTTATTATATGACTTTTATAGTTACCCAATGTTACATATTGCCGCAATTAATTGAAAATATAACGCTTAAGAGTTAAAATTCAACACTTCCTAGATACCTATTAAGTGTTTATTTGAAAACTAGAAATCAACATGAAACGGAAGTCTAGACCGGATGGCGTTCCATTTGAAATTGCAATCATATGGAAATGACTGTACTTCCTTTGAACTGACCCGGATCATTACGTTTACATCCTTGAAGAGATAGCATTATTGAGTGTTTTAAAAACATGTTTCATTTCATGTTCAAAAGCCATAGCTATGCCCTAAGTCAACCGCTGCTGTAACACATCTGAGTAGTCAGGTCGAAGTTAAAAATTAAAGCATAAAATGGCGTATTTCTTACAAGTGATATTTTGTAATGTTAAGTTATTCTTAGCGCACTTCCGAGCCTTCGTTTGCGGCCCACGGCCTCAATTCAGTCGTTGTTTCTGTCGTTACATAATTTGGTGCCAGTCAAAACTAGGCAACGATGTCACGCCGGATCGTTGCGCCATTTGCTTGTGAACCAGAGCTACAGGCAATGATAAAGCCTTTGCGAAATAAAAAAATGCATACTTAGCGATGTGTGCTCCTTTGTCTCTTAGTTGTTTCATGGTGACGAGGCCAGAGAATCTTGAAATTTTTATGTAGGTAGTTCATTTTTGAAAGAAAAAGGTGTTTTGTTTTGTTTAGCTGAAGTGTCAATCTAAGTTGTTTTTTAATGATAAAGGACAGACAAGCTAGGGTTCACTTGATGGTAGGTGGAATACCCCAGCCTTAGCATCTAAACAAAATGTGTTGTCGACCTATTTTGGCTTTGAATATTAGAACAATGTGCACGAATTGGGCTATAAAAATATTTAGTGTTAAAAAGGGGCCTCTCAGTATTTTAATGTTAAAGTCCAATGTATAAGTTTAGATTTCTATATAAAAATATGTTTTAATCTACCGCATTTGCAGTTGCAGTTCGCAAAAAACTGTTATTACAAAGTCGGCTTATAGTTTCTATAAGCTCGTAAAATACATCCATACATCCTTGCCGTAAGCAGGTCATCTGTAAAATTTACTATTCCCTTATTTTATCTTTTACTCCATACTTATGCCTTGGTTACTACCATTATTGTGTCCAACAAAGAAATCGTTCACTTCCGACGTCAAGTTACAAGAACCAATGGCGGTCATGTAACAGGGTTTATTATTACGATGATGCTGTTATAAATATGACAAAATATAACTTGCGTAGTATTAAATGTTAACGCAACGACAACAACTTCAAACATAGGTATAACCTTTCAGAAAAACAAGAGTATTTTCTAATGGCATCTAAACAGTTCCTATAAGTTTAGTAAATAACTATTTATTATATCTAAGTATTCTATTTGGGTACTCATATCTTTTGTAATGTTTCTACTTATATAATTTTTATAAAACTGCATTAAAAACCTAAATAAAAATTCGTATTAACATTAAGATACTAATAATTCTTTTAAAATAAAATTGAATAACTTCATCTTTCTTTTAAGTCGAACTAACTATATAATATCAAGGTTATACGTGTTATTATTTAATAAGTTACCATTATTATGTGATATTCTTGTTATATAAACTAAACCTACTGTTCAAATAACGCGTATGAATAATTTTGTAATATGTAGCGTAACGTAGATAACATTTACACATTAACCACGAATGTATTATGTGAGTACTGAAATTACATTAGATCGATCTTCTACAGATATAAGAATTGATAAAGAAAAGTACAGATTTTTATGTAAACTTAAAAATTAAATGTCTAAACATTCAAACGCTTGATCCTTGTTTAATTTATATCACCTCTTCAACAGGATTCAATGCTGTTTTAAAGTTAATACAGCATTGGATGTATTATATTATGTAAAATGTAAAACTCGTAACAAACATTCTTAAGTCCCTCGAGCAAGCCTGTATGACTAAGCAACCCCCATTCGATTTTGGCTTAACGTGTTAAAAAAACGGGGACAAATGCACCCCTGTTCATAATGATATAGGGTTCACATGCTTAATTTAAAACCTGTGCGTGGAATGTTCGAAAAAAACACGATAAAAAGTAATGCTCATCTGTGGAAGAGAAGACTTATAAAATATGTAATGAGTGCCTCACGTGTAGTCACGAATAAAGTAGTAAATTATATGAACGCAATTTAAATTCTATTTTTGATTGTTTCAGTTTTTCTATTTCTGAACTCAAAGATATCAGTTATTTTTACTTATAATGGCCAGTCGTAATATTAAAATATTAAATATTGTGTGACATATTATTATAAACCGACGTGTTATAAAAAGTTTATCGTCAAGGGGCTCTTGGTATGTCCCAATCGGGCCATGTGCGCGCGCTCCCACGCGTAGTTGACACACAAGTGTGCGCGAGCGCCACAACAAACTTCATATCGCTACCTCCAGCGAGCGACGTTGTCAATGTGTGCGTGAACTGCTACTTCCTGGTACAGCGCGCGAGATGCTTTATTTAAATCTTCCCTTTGTGTGCGTACGTTATATTATTTATATCCATCTTCATCTACACGAATATTATTACATTAACGACATGTGTGTGTCGATCCTTTTAATCTTCATTGTACTTCCTGATTATGTGTCAGTGTGCGTTAGCCACTTGTTTGAACGTTAGGGCGAGTTTATCTCGGCGAGGGACGTAGCGTCCGATTACTGGCTTTCCGTGGGGTTGTATTATTATTTTTATTCCACTGATATCGATGAAAAGCCCCAATATTGTATCTGTGTTACGCTTCTCTTATGTAACGAGCAATAGAAACCGTTGCATTTCTATATTACGCTAAGTGAGGATAATCTTCGGCGCCGACCTCGAATTCTCTTGCATAAAACAAAGAGCTCATGTTTACGTTCTCACTGGCAACAGGAAGCGTCAACCGTTATAATGTATCAAGCACCTCGTTCTCGGTAAGACACAATACCAGTTCCGCTGTTGTTTGCAAAACTGGCGATTTCAGGAAGTGAACGCACTTTGATCGATTCGTTTTACTTTTAATTTTGAATAAAATGTTTGTCAATTGGCGTAAATTCAAATTCGGTTTCATTTGAATTTCTATAAGCAAGGTGCGAGTTGCGTCCCTGTTTTTTATAAGTATGATAAAAATAAAACTTTTCGAGTGAAATATGGCGCCGGTATCGATAGTTCGTACTTTGTATTCCGCCCTATGCAAAGCGGCACAAGTGGACAGATGCGGCCATAAGCAGTAGTTTGCACAATTCGGCATTATGAGGGTCCAATCGCACTCTCGGAGGGAGGCATATGAATTTCTAGTGCAAATCCCTCCTGTCGTTCACATCTGTCGCTATCAGCTGTGGATTAGATACAAACGTCATTAATTGATTTGTGTTTGAACGAAGGGTTACCGAATTTCCTTTGTGGAGTAAGCGAAAAGCGTGATTTGTGCTTTTGTTCCTTTTTCCTTTCCTTTCGTTGGCTTTTTTTTTTTGTTGGTTTTTTTTTTTTTTTTTTTTTTTTTTGGTTTTTTTTTTTTTTTTTTTTTTT